CACACACACACACACACACACACACACACACACACACACACACACACTCTGTTTTCAGTGACCCAGTCTCACCTGTTCCTGACGGGTGCATTTACAGACACTAAATGCTTTGGAGCTGTTTCCTCTGGAACTCCAGTTGTTTGTGCTTCCTTTGCAGACCCTTAAAAGGAAAAAAATTCAATAAAAAAAAAAAAAAAGGAAAAAAATCAATAAAAAAAAAAAAAGGAAAAAACTCACAAAGTGAAATGGTGGCTCAGTGGAATGATGGGCATCTGCAGTGCATGATAATGCCACAAAATTATACCTAGACTCCAGAACACATCCGGAAACTTGACTTGATATGATTGCTTGCATCAGTGCTAAAAACTTGAGTGCATATTCTGGGAAAATCTGAAAACATTCATACAGCAGCTGTGAGCTTGCATGCATTTTGTGAGATCAGGACCTAAATATTTTCTCTGATATCAGTTGAAAACAGTTTCAAAAAGCTGTTTAATATGTGCTGTAATATCGTATTGTGTGAAATTTACTTGAGTGGGTTGATGTCCAACTCCCCCACATTTTGTTTTTTTCTGCCAAACGCTGTCAGGGACACTTTGTGCAGATCAAAAAGAGACTGGAACAATAGCCGTGCTCTTGTACACACACAGATAAAAGACCTGCTACTTTAGATATAAATTGATCAAAAACTACGACCATAGTCTCTTGACCATACCATACATTTTCTGTATATGTAGCACTCGGCACCCTTTCAGTCATTGTCATGTTGTGATTACAGACATCATGAAGAAAACATGCAATCGCCTTTGCATCATAGGACCTGTTATTCTCTCTCTCTCTCCCTCCATTTCTTTTTTACTCGGCAGAGCATTTTAAAATGCCTCTGAGGTGTGGTTCATGAGTGCCAACATTGATTTAAGTGCCTGTAAGGGGGAAATCTCCCCTATAAACACACAGCGTTTATGGAATACAGAGCAGAGTCCTCCTGCGGGCTTTCAGCCACATACGTTGAGCTGAGTGGCAGGAAAATAGAGAGAAAGGACATGAGAGAGACCAGGGTGAGAGAGCGGCAGGAATAGGACGGAGGAAGAAAGGTAAAATGAAACAAGGTGAATGACGAGGCATGCAAAGATTGACAATGAGTGAAATGTGAAAATACCGTACGTGTGGGAAAGGGGACAATGCATAGGGAAACTGAGCACGGGTACCCAGACTATCACTGACACATTTAGTATTCTCATGGGGGAAAAAAAGCTGGCATTTGAGGTGTGATTACGTACGGGTTATCGGACTTGTCGAGGCAGGCGTTATCGATCCCAGGGAACGACATCATGGTGTCCTTCAGCTTGGTGGAGTTGGGATTTTGGTTACTGTGGAGTCAGAAAACAAACAGTCAGCGTCAAGTCAGAGGTTACACAGGCATGTAAGTGAACTACAGCATAACTACAACAATACTAAATGCATTCACTCAAACAAAAGGTTGTTTCATAAGGCTCCAACATGACAGAGGGGTTGGACTTCATTGATTTATTCAAATCAATCTTGGTGACTGGGGTTTCAAGGTTGGCATTCATTAAGGTTTTCCTTGTAGAGAAGCTGGTATGAGATCAATTTACTAACTCACAATACTGTCAATAAAGTCACCATGGGGACACAGTCTGTGATTCTAATAATATTAGTGTGGGGAACAGTTTTTTTTTTATTTATTTGATCCTTCCCTTGCCTTTTAATGCACTCATTAATAAACATTCAGATCATTGCATTTGTATTGTTCATACAGCAAAGTCTGAAAACACAGTGCTCTGAGAAAGTTCATAAAATATGAGACGAATACCTATAGCACAGGACTATCATTAATCTCTTTTAAAATAAATATTATTCTTCAATCACTTTTGTATATCAAGCTGAAGAAGAAGACTTGGAAGAGCATCCATACGGCCTTTGATATGGATTGGCACCTCTTTTCTCTCTTGCTACATAACCCTTGATCAAACAATAGCGCTTCTCAAGAAGGAAGACATCTCGCAACCTCTTGACGCTCTTAATCTCTATCCCTTTGATCTCACATCTCATCCGTCTTCATCACATTATCTCTTTCCCTCGCGTTCTCCCTCTCTCGCTCTCCTTAAGGACTGTCTGCCCTTCAACAAACTGCTGCTTCAAATTCATTTTCGAACAAGTGAGACACGTCGTGGCCCCGCAAATGATGAAGAAACCCAACGGAACAATCAAGCGACAAGTTGCTTCAAAGTTGCAGTTAGCGGCTCTTTGGTTTCAAAATTTGATATTTTACTATAGCGCATCCTGCAAGCTGAACAGTAGGATTTTTGTAAATACAACATCCTCCAAGCTTTTTCCACAAACCAAGTCAGTTACAGTATAACAGAGATGTCACTTGAGATACACACAACTGTGATGATTTGTTTGTAGCCTTTTCCATAATTCCCCACATTTATACAGCAAAACGTTTGAAGTAGTTTCCTGATATTGCTCAAACTAATTACGTCAAAATGAGCTTGGAAAAGACTCACTTTTTCAGGGACACTGGTGTGATTATTTGTTGCCAACTGAGTCTCATGGACATTTGTCTCGCCACGTCAAATTAATTGAAACAAAAGAGCAGAGCTTCAGAGTTCGATTGAACCGCTCCAAACATGCTCGGTGTAAAATCACCCTGATTAACCTTGTTTGCTTCTGTGGCCTCCCCTCCCTCCCTTGTATTTTCCTTGCCATGGGGACTGACCTGAAGAAAGAGTAGCTCTGTCCGAAGTTGTAGAGCGCAGGGCTGAGCTCCAGCTCAGGATAGTGACGCAGGTCGTTCCTGACTGAGCCCAGAGCCATCGCAAACATCATGAACAGAACAGGGAGCAGGATTTGGGAGATCAGGCCCTTCCAGTCTCTGCGGCTGTGGTGGAACCTCTTGATCAGAATGGCTGCCATCTGCTGCCATGCCAGGGCCATGCCGCGCGCCATGGATGGACCGGTAAGCTCTGGAACACATGGGAGAGGAAATTGTGACAGGATTTAATCAATTCTGTTCCGTCTGCTTTTTTTCCCTCTTCAGAGCACACTGAGCTAAAGGTTAAAACGGGTAGATTGGATCACAAAAGATGTCAGTGCAATCCGTCAAAATGTAGAAGATGTTGAACTACTGTAGGTCAGCTGAGTAAGTGTACTTCAAATATCTTAGCTTATCTTTGAAAATCTAAAATAGAAAAAAAAAAAAAGAATGTCAGCATAATGATTGAACTACAAACTGCCCTCAGACTAGAGTCTTACATTCCCCTTGGAGATTTTAGAGCTTTATTATCTGATTTGTTTATGATCGTAACTGTTTTAAATTCCTTGTTTACTGTGTAGTTGTTTCGTTTCTGTTTCGCTGATTGTGTTCTTGTGAATGTTACTTGTTCCCAGGTCTGTCTTTGGAAAATAGATGTCACTGCAATGAGACTGTCCGATTAAATAAAGATTGAATACAAATGAAAAATAGCAGTTTTACAAAGTTTTCCATCATGCATCCTTTTACTCACTGATACTGTCTCCAAAGCTGGAGATGCTTCCACTGGGGTGTGAAGGGAAGCTGTCTATGGAATCAGTGTCAGAAATTGTCTCTGAGATAGACAGGGGGATGTTCTCAGTCTCAGCTTCTGTGTTTCCATCAGTCAACTGGAGAAACACCTACACAGACCAAAAAAAAACATGAGCATCTGTGTATGTCAAAAAGTAAATCAGAAAAATGCTACGGCTTGTGATTATGCTTATGTGTCAATATGATCAAGATTATGAGCACTACCACATTTTTACACAGAAAAAAACTTCTTCTCCACTGTGTCTGCAGCGTGAACTTGTGTTTTTGTGTGTGGTTGTGTATGAGCTTACCTCCTCTAGGGTGGTGTCAGAGATGCCATAGCCCCCCAGCTGTAGGGCGTCCAGGTTGGAGTCCAGCGCGGTCAGGAGGGAGCGGTATGAGGAGGCGTTGGATGAGGCAAAGGGGGGCAGTGAGTAGACCAGGTCACCCCCCAGGGCCTCCTTCAGTCGAGCTTCTGGTACATGAGCTTGGATGAAGGACTTCAGCTCAGCATTGTCAATCTGCTCAGATTCTAAATTCTGCATCCGCAGATAGGAAAGCAGGAACAGATTAGGACGTGATTTATTATCAACATTACACAGCTTTACTTTGCACAACTAGAAATCATCTGCCGGTGGCTTCAAATATATATTTCTTTATTTTGGCTGTTTTTTTTGGGACGTGTATGCTCTACCGTTCTACCCTTAACATCATCCATTTCAGTTGTTGCTACATAGAAAAGGCGCTTGATACAGCCTAAAAAAGAAACAGCCAAAATACAGAATAGGGAAGGGAATTGTAGTTTTGACCACAATATGAAACTGGCATATACAGCACTATATGGGATGCAAGGATTCTTTTCAATTTGGTAAGACGTCAAAAATTGAAAGAGCTACATTAGGAATGCAGTGTACGATATAGTATCCTGAAAAAAAGTATGAGCCAGTTTGCAGCAGGCAGCAGAGAAGTATTTGTGTCGAATTTAGCCTATTTAGCAGTTTTCCAATACATCCGATATAAATCACACTATTGCAATATATATTGTTTGCAACACTTGTGTGTCTAATGTGGCAGAAATAAAACCAATAATTTATTTACACATGAACAGGCCAGCTCCTCCATTATAATATATATTATAATGTATTGGGGAATGTTACTTTTTATGCTGGCTGTGCATTGTCATTGTTAAGCGAACGTCTGAGTAAAATGCATTAGATATAGTTTACTCTCTCACTCCTCTAAGATAAAGGCTGTGGCCTACAATCACTCAACCTTCACTTATGGTAAAATGTTATCATCGAGCACCAGGGAAACATGAATTATTTGACAAGTTTAAATGAAATGTCCCAGACATTGTGACTGTATGTCAGGATGAATACCTTCTTGGTGAGAGTGAGTTTGTAGCCCTGACCCAGCTTGTCTTTCAGGTGGAAGGGGGATCCGCAGCATTTTAAACCTCCTTTCTCCAGGAAGGCGATGCGGTCGCTCAGTACTTCAGCCTCATCCAGGTGGTGGGTAGACATGATGATGGTGCGATCTGCAGGACACACACATAAAACAATCTGCATTATTTGTGTACGGATCATTATACCAGTCTCTGACCCATAACTGCAACTCAAACGGAAGCTAAAGGGCATTGTGTGAGTATAAAGAAACGTAATACAGGAAAATCCAGTGATTCGATGTCAGTGAAATGCAAACAGTTAGATTATCTTCACCAGCCATGGTAATCTGTTGAGCTCTGTAGGAGTTTTAAGTTTTGCGAAGGGTGGAAGAACAACACAGAAGCCATATTTAGATGTAGATTTTCCTATCCTAGTGGGTTCACATTGGCCTTTTAAGTGCAGCTGCACACATACAAACATTATGCAACAACACACATTCAAATAAACAAACCAGACATCACAACGATAAAGTCACACACTCAAGCTGTGTCGTGCACATAGAAATCATCAGAGAAAAAGGCGCACAAACAGCAAGCAATGAAGAAAGCTTATTTTGAAACAGATTCCCCCGGCACCAAAATCTCACTAGCATCTGAGACAGGGCCAATTACGCAGGACATTTTTCCACAGCTACAATTATATGACATTTAGCAGTCACCCTGCCATTGCTGCTCTGAAACAGCCTAAAGAAAAAATACTGGATTTCTTTTTGGTTAATTATATGCTAAATTTAAAGTCACGAGCATGAACAAGAAAAAGCCCTCCAGGGTCTGCTTCCGGTTCCTGCTCTTCTACTCCTGTCCCTCTTAGTAGATAGGGAGTGGGAGGCGTCTTCAGTGGAAAACACTAGAGCTACAGAGTTTGGAGTGCCTGTGCCATGTGAGTGTGTGCACTACAGAATGTGAATTTGAATATATTTGTACACAGATTAGACAATAATGAAGTTGTCTATGTCTGATTGGATGAACATGACGCAATGTGATTAATTACTCATCAGCAGTTAGTCATGGAAACCCCTTACACTGATTAGCTTTTAATGTTACTGTTGAAGAGGTAAGTAAATGCATTTTTCCTCTAAACCACCTTTAAAACCAAGGTGCTTCACGGGTGAACGTAAAATACAACGAGAAGACAAAACATAAAAGTACAACACAAAACCATTGGAGTTATAAGTTGTAAAAACCCATGATGCCAATAAAGTTTTGTTTTTTTAAAAAGCTTTTTAAAATGAAGTCCCTTTTTTCTTAAGCCTGGACTTTGGAACTTTTCAAAACATTTGGTTTGGGGTCTTGGTGCAAGATCATAATTATATTGCAGAGACAAACATGAGGGGCTTAAAAGTAATACGGAAAATTAATTCCAAAACAAATGGGAATCAATGTAATTGAGTCAGGGCTGGTGAGATACGCTCTCTGAGTGTTTGTCAGAAGCCTTGCTGCTGCATTATGCACCAACTGTCGATAAGTAATTGCAGCATGATTGAGTCAGTAGTACATAATGAATTGCAGTAGTCAAGGCGAGAGGAAATTAAAGCGTGAATAAGGCGTAAATAAGTTGTTCAACAATGACTTTGGAGAGCACTGGCCTGACAGACAACACTTCTGGTTTATATGAATATTTCTGAGCTTCTAGATTACTGGTTGAATATTTTAAGCTGATGGTTAGAGGCTGTTTAGTCTTTGATAACAGCAAGGCAACACTGCAGGGAATCCAGATTGTTATGATTTTCAATACTAAACTAAAGTAACGGATAATACGGCCATGGGTTAGCAGATACAGACATACAGACAAACAGATACAAACTGAACAAAATCAGGCCAAGTATTGAGCCTTACGGGACCCCACGTGACAGAAAAGGAGACAATACTTTGCTTGTTTTGTTCAGTTAATTTTTCTTCTTCTTCTGCTATTTCTTCCTGTTCCTCGTATCATTATTATTAGTGATGCCAGTAATACTACAGGTGGTTATAGTAATAACAGCAGTAGTAGTACCTTTAAGTTCAATGGAGAGTTTGTGAAATCGAATTAACCGGAACACTTTTTTAGTGTTGAATGTGTGTGTATGTCTGAGAGACTCACGTTTCTTGTACTGGAGAACAATGTCCCAGATGTTGCGCCTGGAGCAGGGATCAACTCCAGTGGTGGGTTCATCCAGAACCACCAAGCGAGAGCCCCCTATGAAGGCAATGGAGATTGACAGCTTGCGCTTCATGCCACCTGACAGGGTGCCCACCCGCTTGTGTCTGTGTGCGTGCATGCCTGTCTCCTCTAGGATCCTGTCAAGTCAATGAAAAGCTTTTAACAAGGAGCTCATGTTACATACATACTTTTTATGTGCATTACAACCCAGTTTCTGAGTTATACTTCCATCAGTTCCATCAGTAACCGAGCAGGGGTTTCTGAACTACAGGAACCAGTGGAGAGGTTCAGTTTCTTGCCTCTAAGTTGAGGCTTATTACTGCTCCTCTAGTCATGCAAAAACCCTCCAGAAATAGTTTCACGATGCAACTGGGGGTTCAACCCATAGCTTCATGCCACAGAATCATTTCTGAACAAAGAGGACGCAAAGGGGAAAAAAGGCATAAAATAAAATATAATATATATAATGTGAGCTTAAAATGGGGAGGAAATATTAAATATTAACATGTTCAGACAACAATAGCATTCTCAACCTACATTCAATGGCAGTAGAAGTAGTGATATATTTCACAGCTCCTGAGATGCTAAAGTGGGGGCTAATTTCAAGGACAGAAAGTGTAACAATTATTTTGTCAACACAGATGGAATTCTTGCATTAATGCCTATATATATATATATACACCTGTAAATTACAGGAAGTAAATATATCTGAATATAACTTGTAATCTTTAAAAATGTCCACTGTGTAACCAGTGACTGTTAAGCACTGGCTACTATTCACTGTTAAACTCTCATGACCTCTGCCCTTATTACCTTTCTATTGGCGGAGCAATAGAGGTCTATTTGATTGAGTCTTTTATTAAAACAGGTTATAAAATGAAACCACTGCTACATAATGTAGAACCCCTGACATCATCTTTAAGACACAGTGCATTATGACATTAAGCATGCTCCCTGTAATGGATGATCGGTCACTCACTCGCGGACTTGTTCGTGCAGTTCCTTGCATGACCAGTGTGGGGCCTTGATCTCGCCGTAGAGCAGCAGGTGCTCCTTGGTAGTCATGTGGTCAAAGAGGACGTCATATTGCATGCAAACCCCCAGCTCTCTGCGAACTTCATCGATGTTGCTCTGCATGTCTCTGCCGTAAACCTCAATGGTGCCCGAAGATGGTGGGAAAAGGCCAGTCAGGAGAGACCTAAGCACAAAGCATGATCATTTACAATGTGAGTTAATTCAGTTTTTGGGTTTCATATTTGGGAAAAAGTCTATATTATAAAAAAAGGCCCTTTCATTTGCTCTTTTTTGTACTTTCTTACAGGCACTTTCCTGTTAAAAAATGATTTATTGGTCCCAAGAATATTGAAGGCCATGGAATCCCTTCTTTTTTTATATTGTTGAATCTTATTCGCTGATGCATTCATTGTGCGCTGCTCTGGATAAGAGCATCAGCAACATTCGTCAAATTTAAAATGTAAATGTAAGTGCTCCAGTAAATGAAAACCTGTAAGGCCAGTCTCTACAACGGTGCATTAGCTGTGCCAGATTTGGACAAAACAATCCCCCTGTCAGCAGAAGACCCCTTAAAAGGGTCTGTTGATTGAAGGGATGCACAAATCAAATTTAAAAGACACTTCATTCAGTATATGAATTGTTGTATGTTATATGCATTTGTATTCATCTTACGACTAGCTGATACTGTGGAAATAGAGAAAAATTGTGCCACACATACATGGTGGTGGTCTTGCCGGCTCCATTGTGACCAAGCAGTGAGGTGACATGGCCCTCGTAGAAGGAAACATTGAGGTTTTCAATTGCTACTCGGTCGCCATAGATCTTGCTGAGACCACGGAGGGCAACGCCCACTGGGAGCTCTGAGAAATCCTCCCCAGCCTGAGAGGAAAGAGTGCTCTGGCCTAAGAGAAACATGGAGACAGATGCAACCTGTAAATCAAACTCACAGGGGACAGGAATTTAATGAAGAGTGAGGGTGAAATATAAATGTAGGCAGGAGTTGGGGTTAGCAAAAAAAATGACATGAAAGGAAAGACATCATGTTCTTGCTTCAAAACACAACACCGGAGGAGACAGCATTGCTTTTTGTTATCTGCCGTGAGATAGTACAATGTCATTTTTTTTTTCTGTACCTTTTCCCTTGTCGTCGGCGAAGACGGGCTGGTTTTTCTGCATTATGTTGGTAAAGAGGAGTCCTCTGCCCACCTTACTGTTTGACTTAATGCAACAACACAGGTTGGTCCAGAAGGAGGCCTTGAAGGGGAAGTACCATGGGGCAGGGATGCCGTACTTTCCTGAAGGGATAAATAAGAACCCAAGACGTCTAATTATTACATGACACACTGCTTAGAAAAAAGTAAAATAATTAAATTACCTTAACATTTCCACAGTGACAGGATGCTAGCATTATGGTCCCTCTACTCCCGATACTTTACTAATATAGCTAGAGAGCTAGTATTATCACGCTAATGCTAATATTGTCATGCTATGTGCTAATACTGCCATTACGCTTCAAGAACAGCTGACCTGACAAAGACGAGTTGGTATACTGTTAGCTTGGCAAAAGTAGAATCCAACAAAGTAAAGCTAATCCAAACAAACTGTACAGACCAACTATACAATCTGCTTTAACCCTGCTAGCTAGATTAATGAGAACTATTGGTCTCGTCACGCATTCATTTGTACAGCAAATTAGCAAAAACAAATTCTCTGATCAACCTTTCACTAGAATTAACTGGATGGAGAAGTGAATCCCAATGGTTTGAAAAAGTGTTTGAACTATTTTAAGTATCTGGACTCCTTGACTTGAAGATCATTCTGCTTGAAGTTTTAAAGACTTGTATGATTATATAGTTTACCTGGGAGGACCATGCGGATGTAAACCCCGATGATGAAATAGAGGATGGAGTCGATGAGCAGCAGCCAGCACAGCCAACCGAACGAAGATGTGTCTCCAGCTATGGGCGAGGTGTAGGAGTTGCTCCATTGAATGCCTGAGGATGTCGACAGAAGATTTAATTAGCTTCCCACTGACTAAAGTAGCTTATGTTTCAAAGAGATCGTGTTTGATGCATGCAGATGTCTACATATACATACCTTCTCCTTGGGACTCGTACCGAGAGATATATTGACTGGCATGACTAAAACAGGTGGGGGAAAACAAACCCTGTAGGAAAATAAGAGGCCAATTATAGTTTACAGTGAGAGAAGCAGTGAAAGAAGAACAACAAAAACACATATCTACTGTTTTTAGACAATGCCTTTCCATAAAACCTCTCTTCTATGGTCTTGACAATCTTGTGTCAGTATGACGTGATATACCTTTCTCATCATGATCTGAAAAGTTTTGTTCAATGCAAACAAGGCTTTAGATGTACGCAGTGATGCTATTATGTTATTAATGATCATATCAGACAGCAAGCACCAAAATAAAAAATAAAGTATGTATTAAGTAAATGTGCACAACTTGTTTCAGCATGAGAAGGCAGGTAAACTGTGCTCTGCAAACAGAAGTATTTGTAAACTGTCAGTTTGCCGTGCACTACAATGCTACGCATGTCAAAATGAAAAATAAAACCTCGCAATGGAAAACAACTGGAGGCTAAAGCCACCATTTACTCAGACTATTTCATAAAGTAACTGCCTTTTTAAGGCTGCAGTAATATATTTTGAATCACAATGTCAATAAAATAGTTTTATTGGTTAGAGTAAATCAATTTTTTTGGAATACAATGAAATGACTTTGTGTTCTTTCTTATCTCTCCCTTCAATTCTTAGTAGTTCATTGTTGTTTTTTTTAACATATATATATATCACAGTATATATCACAGTACTAGTACTTCTTTAATATACATGAGTCATGACAGAGGAGGTTTCTCACCAGGGCGGCCTTCTGGGTAAAGGTGAGTTTTGTCTCCACGGCCACGACCACAATGAACGGGAAGAAGCAAAAGACGTAAAGGAGGCTTGCACTCAGGCCGGCGATGTATGTCTTGTCAAAGAATGAGCTGACTAGGTAACTGAAGGACAGGATGCTCAAAGCATAATCGCAAAGGTACAAGAAAAGGAGGAAGCCGTCACTGTTGGGCAGAATTCTGCCAAACTTCAACACCATCGTGACCAAGAACACGATCAACACCAAGTAAGCGGTGGACTCCAGGAACCAAGCAAAGAAGTGGCTGAGCGGGTTGACTCCCATCATTTTCATGTACTGTGGGAAAAGCAAGAATAGCAATGGATGGGAAAACACAGAAAAACAGTAAACAATACAGTTTCTGTGCTTGCTTGCTTGCCAATGGTGCTTATGAATGTTTACAGCAAATAAACCTGGAGGGTCTAGGGGACGAAGAGTTAACATTTGATGCTGTGTTCAAAACTCTGAGAGAGAGGCTCTGCTTATCACTCTGGCAACCGTTCATCAAAAATAATTTGGTAATGTCAATGAATGTGAATGTACATTTAAAAAAGAAACACAAAAAGACATGGACAGTGTCATTACACAGCATCTTAGAAACCCAGAAGTCAGTGGCAGGTTTGATCTTTTTTCAAGTGAAAACAAAGATTACCTCATGCAGCCTCAGCTCTCTCTCATGTACCAGTTTCTTTACAAAATCAGCCACGAACAGCACCCAGGCTATCATCATCATGAGAGGGAATACAAAAGCCATGGCCTCCAGGAACCTGGGGAATACAGAGGTGTGAGCTGTCAAGTCAAATTTCTAGAAAACCAAACATCCAATCACTGTCAACAACAGCAGATGAAAAGGCCTATCATTCAGTCACCGGCTTGACAGTGAGACCGAGATGAAGAGTGGAAGAACAATATCGAAGGGGCGGTTTGGAGATTGTTGACAGCCGTGTTCTGATCCTCTTATTATTTACGCAAAATAAATGCCTCTCCATTTAATTTTTGTATTTCTTTACTTAATCATATCTGGAGCCTGATACATACGAATTCAGTGCTTGCTGTTTTTCATACCACACAGCTATATTGCGCAGCTCATGTCAGAAATTGTTTTTGCTGTGTAATAAATCAGAACGACAGAAAGGCAAGGTTCAACGTATCTTATAGTTGGTCAGAAGGCAGCCATCCAGAGACTAGTGGTCCGCTGGAGCTCCTTAGATGAGATACCAGCAGTCGAGGGCAAGCACAACCATAGGCATTACAGTCCAATTGTTGGAAACAATGCCGTGTATAGATGCACAAGTTAAAGCCATTTTTAAAATTAGATGTTTACTACAGAGACGTGTTCCTGAATAGCTTGAAGGGTGTTTTAACGTATGCACGTGTATGGTCTTCAAAGATGAATGCACAATAAAAGTGAATATTCATGCAGATGGTGCGGAGCCAATTATAATGAGAAAGATTCCTGTGAATGACTACTTACTGTCAGTCCCAAGTGGCAAATGAATAATGAGAGAGCATGCATTATTCCACATCAATGCCTGTACTTCCCCTCAGAGACGCTGAGGATCCTTTCACGTTTCTACGCATGCATTCCATACGGGAGCATGCTCATACTGTATGTGTGTGTGCTTGTTTGCATGTATGAGTGTGCATCCATTTATTCTGGAGACTCACTCATCCCGAAGGTAGCAGGGATAGGGGAAGGGCTGCAGCTGGACGGCTGGCTCTGTGACTCTCTGTCCAGTCTGGGTCTCAATGATGGCCCGATCAATGTTCTCCTGCAGGTAGACAAAGCCTCGGTTGTAGCGCAGCGTCAGCCTGGCCGAGATGTGGTTGTCCTTATAAAATATAGCTTCCCGGACTCGGTCAGTACGCATGACGTTGTCCATGTGCATGCGGATAGTGTAGCTGACTTTGGGAGGCAGGGAGGATGTGGCGGAGGATGAGTCCTCGTCTTTGGGAAGCTTAAAGATGACACCTTAAAGACAGATTGCAGCATCTCACTACACACACTTTATACTAACAAAATTCAAAAGACCAGAGTAGCTCTTATGTTCCTTGTCCTAGATAAACTGTTGCAGAGTCAGTTCTCCTGTAAGTGTCCTCACCTCAACTCATTATCAACAAAGAAGACCCTTTTAGAGGAAGCAATGTTTGATAAGGTGGACACTTTGTATCCGTTGTACTTTTTACGTCACATATTTGGCTTATAAACCTTGGCGTTATCTTACCTACAAACTCTGCTCTTTCCAAATAAAGCTTGTCCATCACACCCAATATTTACTCACTTGCGTAGAGATCACGGTTTTTGGCAAGGTCCTGAGCTACAGTGTTGAGCTCGTCGGCAGAGTCGTAGCCACGATAACGGTCAAACTTGATACAGGAGGAGATGTTCACCATCAGGCTTGACAAGGTGGTGATCTGGTTCATTATGCGTTTGTTTTTCTCCAGCATGACGGTCATGTTAGCTTCGGAAAAAAAAGATATTTAGAAATTTACTGACAGGGTTAAAGAAAGTGGAGTTTCAGATTTAATTGCTGCAAATCCAAATGAAAAAAAAGACATTTGCAGTGTCTGTTTAATGTCATGGCTTTTTATTTTATATGTTAAGTGAGAAAGAAATATGGCCCGACAATAACATGTAATCTAATCAAATACCTGTACGTCAAAGTCAGACCTTGTGGAAAAAAAGACCGACACGCATAATGACATCAAGGAGAGACGCCTTAAGAAATGCATGTTGAAATGAGTACAATGCTTCCTTTAAACCAAAGGAGCAGTCCTATTTTCTGATAGCGTGGATATTTTACAAGCATTAAGGGAGGGAGGAATGTAAAGCTAAGCCCGGTATCTGCAGCTTACAAAAGTAAGACCTTCAAATGCTCACTCACAGAAGTTGCTGAGCGTCTCCTTCATTCTGCCGACATTGATGTCTGTCTGCATCTCAATGAAATTCTCAACAAAGGAATTGCCGAGGGAATTCTGACAGGAGGGGAGAGAGAGTGGGAGAGACAATGCACAACATCAATATTCTGCTGCTGAAACTCGTCGCAGACCACTGCAAAGTTTATCTCCAGAATTTCAGCGAGCCGACAGCGAGCCAGGGAGAATAATTAGATATACAGGAGACAGAGTTTTTTTGTACCTGCAGCATTGGCAAAGTGTGGGTAAGTATTTCGGCAGACTTTATGATGAAGTTGGAGGACTCAATCCAGTCCTCGGAGTACTTCCTAAGATTCGCAAACTCCTGCAAGGTGGCATTGGCCTGGACAAAGAGGGGACAAGGACGAGAGCATGTGAAATGGTTGGGTATCAGCAAGGTTTCATAACCTGCTGTGTTTGTGTGTGTGTGTGTGTGTGTGTGTGTGTGTGGCTTGCTCTAAAACCTGCTCAAACTAGAATCATAGTAGAAGATGGTGGTGCATACAAATATGTGTATACTCCCTGCAACACAGTATTTCTTGCTTACTAAATGTCAGTCGGGGTGCATGAAGGCTACAGAGGTAACTATCGCTTAGAGGAGGTAGAAATAGAAGTGATAAAAAACCTCTGTGAATGCGTGACAAAGTCAGATGAGGGCTTTCGGAGGATTTAGAACATAAAGTTCATAAAGGTCATGAAGATATTAACCCCCAGAGAAGATGGCTGTGATATGTTTGAGTATGTACCTTCTCCATTATGGCCCTGGTGACAGGTGTGTCAGGGGTATACAGAATTTGTCCCATCAGCATCGGTTTGAGGAAGGCCCAGGCAATGGCTCCTCCAGTGGTATTGACCATGTCCAGGTACATGTTCATACAGAAGGGAGCTACACAAGGAAAGACGAGAGCACAACCATTAGACAAACAGTATTTAGGTTTTTATTGGCAAGTTTTCCATGAAAATATTTAGAGAGTTTGAGGATCACTTTTGAGGTTGGATGATAAGAAAAATAGAATAAAGAAAAAAGTGAGCAAACTTAACATTTTTCTAAAGTCTTGAGGGAGAAAAGTTGGTGAAGATTTTTAGCCATAATTGGATTTCCTTAAAGCAGCTGGCTAGCTACTAGCTAGAATCTCTGTGTCACTTTTGAGTTTTGAATTTTCACAGTCTGTGAGCACGAGAAGTGACCACCCGTATCCCTATTCACTATAAGGCCAATTGTTAAGGGCGTATGATACTCTACTCTGTTATTACCAATTTTATGATTTAGGCTGAGGACGCTAGGAAAACGTTTCTTTTCTTCTCTGTGCTGTGCCTACAGTACATGTTACTTATTTTGATTGTGTATATCTTGTAATAAGATAATAACCGTGAACGATTCTGATAGCAAAGGAATACTATAAAAAAAGACTGAATAACAAGACCAAAGATACAGTTAAAAATGAACATACTGGCATTTGTTGGAATCTTGAACCTCTCAATCATCTGCTCCCTCTGGTGCTGGTCGGGGAAGGCGGAGTCTGACTCTGTCGTGATGGGGAGTTTTGAGATTCCCAGCACAGCCAGGATTCCTTTATTGCACAACGCTCGAGAGAGGGTGACAAAGGTCGCTTTGCTAGAGATGGTGGACCTCTTTCCTCTCACCATCTGGGGAAAAGCAATGAAACAGCATTCCTTAATTTTGGCGAAGTTTAGTTTTCACACAAAGATAGATAAACACATGAATGCATTGTGGGTAATGCACTGCACAGTAGCAAAGACTATATACCTGGTGAAATTCGCTGTTGGCCACCAGGTTGAGGTCTTCGATGGAGAGCATGAAGTTTTGAAGCTGACCCACAGCAGGAATAATTGTGTCCATCATGTTGGTTATAACCTCAGCAATCTGGAGCATAACTCCCACCAGGCTCTGCAGTTCTTCAGACAAAACCCTCTGAAAGACAGTAACCAGCATTCAAACATGTGTCTACAGGTTTTTTTTTTAACTTTTATGTTGGTGTTTTCAGGTTAAAGAAAAAAAGAATAGAAGACAGGTTGGTATGAGCCACACATTGGTACAGAGCAGGATTTTTACACAAAATATATTGAAGGATGAAAGGGGTCTGCTATTGTTTTACCACACTGTCAATACATATATATAGTTGGATAATATACAAGGTATACTTTCATTGTCTTCGTAGCAGGAGCATAATTAGATTTCTGTATTCTGATGATGATGATTTCTGATCCAAACTACAAGATATTTAATAGCAGGGGAGTCCCATTTTAAGTCAAATCTGCTGTGCAAATCAGAAAGTATTTGGACTTTTGTTTGTTCAATTTATATCCAGACTATGAGCCAAACTGTTTCAGAAAGGACACCAATTTGGGCACACTTCTTCTCTGGGTTTCTCAGAGTAAGCAAAATGTATCTTTATTTCCAAAATCCCCAATCAAAGTCCCATTAATCTCTGGATCCTCCCTTATTGCCTGAGCTAGAGGTTATATACAGAATGCAAAAAGGGTGGGGCTTAGTGGGCAACCTTGGTGACACCTAATTTGATGGTTAGGGATCGTTGCGGATTAATTCTTATTCTTGCTGTGATGTTTCCATATTTTTAATGTCCTCACTGTGACAGCTATTTTTTTTCTTTCATCTCAAGTCTTTACAAGTGCATTAGATGTTTTTAATGACGAGATAAACTATTTATGATTAAACTAAGTACATGTTGCACTTGAAATAGAAAAGAGGCCTATTACAGATGCCTGTTGTTAATTATTTTTTAATTAGTGTATTGAGGTAACTAGATTAGTTTTGGGGATGGACAGTTTTCTTACATCAAAAGGAAAAACATCAGTTATGTGTAAAGGAGCTTTGTCTAGTGAACATTTTCTTGGACAAAATCGTTTCTCTCTTTCTAACATGTTCCTCAAACAAAAACCCTGTGGCATCAAACATGTTTGTGACAGCCCAACAAAAAACGATTGCTTTAGCCATTCAGCCATTACAGAAGAATGTGCATTCACCACTTTCGCTCATTTTCTGGTACAGATAAAGAAAAAAAGCATTCACTTTTGAAGAAACTAACATGTTGTTTTTTCTGAAATCAGTCTTACTCTGTAGATGAGTTTCTCCATGTTGAGATGGCGAGCCATGAGCAGCGAGAAGCTGTACCACTGTTCTACAGACAAGGAGCAGAAGGTCTTTGAGAGGTCCACATCTGTCTTTTTCATTTTCAAGGCTGTAGCGGAGTTGCAATGACGCAAGTTGACCAACCAGGACAGGATCTGTTTCAAAAGCATTACGAGAGTATGGAAACAGTTAATACTGGCAACAGAAACACATGAGAAAGTATGTCGTGCAAAGAACAACAGACAGGCATAACCATTACTACTTTCAAACTGTTCACCTGAGGCTTTATATGGTAACTGGGCTTCCAAATCCCTGTGCTAGTGTGGCAACCTGGTGGGTTTGATTTTGCCTCTATTTAGTGAAAACAACATGTAGCAAGTCAATCCCTCTGCTGTGAATGCTTGGCAATAATGGTGGGCAATAATGCACAGATGCTGAGACAATGGTGAAGATTTGGAATAGTAAAATAGGGAAAAGACAAGTGTCTTCCAGTGTGTTTTTCAAGTTGGCAATTATGGAAATATGTTTGGTCCAATTAAAAGGATGTGTATGAGATACATAGGTCAGCTACTGTACAACCATATCTAGTGTTGTTATTTTACCTGTGTAGTGTTCAGACAATAAGGTGTTACCACCACCGGATAAACTCTTTAAAGATATTTTCTGCTCACTTTTTGCAACATAATCTGCAGTGTACTAATTAGCATAACTAGCAAGTGGACAGCAATGTATTCCACTAAGTAATGTCTGCTCTGAACAAATGGCCCATGTACATTGGCCAGCCACTGATTGATTTTGATTCGGCCTGCAATTCTGTTTCCATTGTACCATAACGGCAACAATTTATGTATGGATGTTGCTGGCTCACCTCTAAATTGTCATTTGGTAGCATGGTTTCCATCAGGAGGCGCAGAGCAGCTGGGTCGAAATCCATATGTTGCTGAACATCCAAAACGAAGGCTGTTTTATTCCTCAGCATCTCACCCACCGTCACCACTCCTGGGAAATAGGGATATAAGAGCAAGTTGACCAGTGTGTTTCTTATTACGACGTCGATACAGTGGATGAGTCGTTTTTTATATACAACCTGTAGTTTCACTTCTATAATGGTGGAAACTACAAAAGAGCTGCACCTGGCTGCTGTTTTGGCTGGTTTAATGTTCACTAGAGCAACAATCATGGACAAAAGGGCAGTAGAGAAAGTGACCACTTTAGTAAATTATCATTGTTAGATAATCCAGCAACAACCAAAGCGGTGCATCACACACCAGTGAGCGACAGGTGAGCTGAAATTAGTCTGTTGCTGTGGAAACAAGTTTTGTGGTCTTCTTTTTTCTACTGATAGCACACCAGGAATCATCCTTTTCAGTACAAGAGTAACCAGAACCCCAAATCTGAATTTTGAACAGTTTAAAACGTACTTTTTGGTTCACAATTAACTACATTTTTCCTTTCAAAATTGATATATGTAATTTTCTTTTACAAATGTTTAATCATTATATCATTTTGGATATAAACTATTTTTCTTTCCAATGGAAATGAGGAAAATATCTGCCAGGTCTACTGTAAAACAGTGTGGTAGCGTTGCGGGAATGTATAATATATCGTGAAAAACAGCAACTGATGTAGAGAAAAGTTTCACCTGGGGAGGTGGTGTTAATGTTGAAAGAGCTCAGGCTGCTGGTGTTAAAGCCAAACCCTTGACTCAAAACAGAGGACCTGTAAACACATGCACACAGACACAAACAGAGAAATGGACTTAAATCAAGGAATACAATAAATATTCACAATATAAACGTTGCCTTTATATCAATAAAATTAAAAGCTGCCAGGCCACCTGCAGGCTGAATGGACTGAGGGAGAAATTAAGTTGGCCCCAAAACGACAGCAAGAGTACCTGTTCGATTTTTTCGCAGACTTCAATACTCTCAAATCCTAGATTTAGGCGTAACAGCCCAGAACACCATTTACCAAATTATACAAAAGGGATAAAAGAGATAACAAACCTAGACGATGGGGAGAGCAGCATTCTCTTACAAAGTGCAGCTAATTGCTGTGAAAACCCTTGAAATAAAAACGTTTAAGAAGGAAGACAATGCTGTACCAGTTTGACTGGATATTGTAGGCTTTGGGGTCTCCGATGACGGCTAGGAAGATGGCATCGGTCAAAAAGGTCGTGTTCATATTCAAATTCTCAACCAAGATCTGCAGGCTGGGTAGAACGGTCTGACACAGCTGACCGGGCTCAATGGAGAAGGCCGACATCAGCAGACGCACAGACTCTGTATTCTCCAAGGTGCACACCTAGAATAAATCACGTAAGCACCAAGTGAGTTTCTGGACAAATCTCAAATCTCAAGATGTTTTTGGCACCGGCAACAAATAATATCCTTTAGTATTTAATGAAAAAACATATCACTGTCAATATCACTGTCAACCTACAAAAACCCATTTTGTTTGCACTGTAATCAAAGTCTAATAAGTGGTGTTTTGGTATTTTTTGCCTGTTCCTGTCCATGTCATGTTAGCTATATTTTCGTCCAATTTGACCAGTTTCAAACAACAATATGTCATAACTACAACAAAGCAGAGGTGGGCCGAAGTCATTGTTTTGCAAGTCACAAGAAAGTCTCAATTCTTTGCACTAAAGTCCCATGTCAAGACAGTCAAGTCCCAAGCCCTGAAGAGTCCTAAACAAGTCATAATGTGCTCTTTACCGAGTGTAATGGTGAAGACCGTAACTGACGCCAACTGGCGCTCAGTAACGTAACGTTAGTTCCTCATGGTTTTCTCCTGCAACTTGATTGGATGTTGTCAGATTGGATTTCTCAAAATGTAAATAAACCCAACATCTCTGACACTTTTGGAGTTACCTCCAGTACCAGGCAGTTGATCGCCTTCGTGTACAAACCTTTTACATAACATTGATACGTATTTTCAAGTCAAAGTCAAAGTGAAGTCACGAGTCATCGGTGTGCAAGTCAAGCTGCAGGTAATTTATTGATTTTGTCAAGTCAATACTCAAGTCATCACATTTGTGACTCGAGTCCACACCCCCGCATCGTAACATGACCACCCTGATAACACCACGTCTATCATAGGCACACGCAGTACATATGAGGGGATTTAAACTCAATATTGTCATGTAGTGCAAGTTTTTCAGTATCAAAATCATATCAATTCAAAGTACTTCCAATTAAAATGGTGTCCTGATAGATGAATGTTGCATGTGTGAAAGTGGCTGGGTTATTGCAGAGACCTTGGATCTCAGGTTGCCAAGTTGCTCAGTGAATTGCGGGTCCATCACGTTGATCTGAAGGAGCTCAGCGGCTGTTTGGATGGTCTCTTGCATGAGCATCAGGTTCTCTTTGAAGGGAGGCAGAGAGTGAACCAGAGGGGGAAAAATGAGGGTAAGAGAGAGGTTATTAGAGCTAGACAGGAAGATGGGAAAGGAAAGGGAAAATAAGGCAATAAGGTCTGTAAGGTGACAGAATAACATGACATCCCACTGGGTTTCATTACGACTCGCACCATTACAGGGCAGCATCATCAGCCAGCGAGCAGCAAATGATGTACTTAAAGTGAAGCCCTGTGCGGGACTGATGGGGCCAGAAGGGCAGGCAGTCCTAGCTGCTGTCGTGCATTAAAACACATCTGACAAGCCCAAAGAAAGGCACCACCTCGGGCAGCAAGATGTGATGACAGAATATTTAATTAGGCTAAAATTAGACAATGGTGATGTTTAATCTCAGGGTGCTCAACACCTAGAGGCCTTTGCAATTACAACAGTTCACTCTGTGTGTTTGTGTGTGTGTGTGTGTGTGTGTGTGAAGAATAGCAGTGGGGTTGCAGAGAAGTGAAGCTGCTTCAGCTGCTTACAAAGTAATTCTATGCACTAAAAACATTATCACACAAGCACAGACGCCAATTAAAAGGAGGTCATAGATGTCCACTTGTGTGAGTGCGAGGGGAGACGTTTAGCGCGGGCGGACAGGATAAGTGATTGAATTCTACTTTGCTAATGAGATTTAAAAAGGTGCTGAGTGGCTTTCTGCTGGAGAAGGGCCATATGGCCTTGGGCTCTTTGGGAGCTCAAGCTAAGCTGATGTGAAGTCTTATTCCTCATATCTCCAGAATGAATTATGCCGCACTATAATCATGTATACAATAACTACAGCATTAACAAAAAGTTTATGGTATTCCAATGGTCCCCTAATAGCCATTAAGGTCAGAGAAAGAGGGTGGCACTCTTCCATCTTGTGTGACTTTTTAATGGCACAGGCTGGCAGACTGTGCTTATACATATATAGTGTCACAGCAGGTATGTAAACACAAGCTGCAGCACCAGTGTGAGCTCTACATTACAGCAGCACTTAGGCATGAGAGGGAGGGAATTCACTGTGGAGTCAGTAGGTAAAGTTCATTTGGAGAAACTAAAAGGATAAAGCATCATTCATGTGGGGATTCTCCATTTAACTAATGAGTACACATTTGTCTTTATAAATCTGCCCTTGGTCAAAGAAGCCTCTAACTGTCCAGACTGAGTCAGAGAGACAGTAGATCTGAACCGTGAAGTTACCTTGAGATTCATAGGCAAGCACTCTGGTGATATTTTTAAGCACCGAGGAGAATGGAAAGCCACCGGGAAGCATATCGGCGGCATTTGTCAGTAGATCCATTGACGACCTGGGGAAGATTAAACAAAGACTGTTTATGAAACAGAGGCCAACAGAGCAACATAATGGTGAAAAAGCAGTTGTTTTTAGATGCTGGGGCAAATTTATACCTGAAGCGAGATACTGAATTTATACATCAAAATAAGGCAAAAAAGACTTTCTTTTTTTTTTTTTCTTATTCCGAAAGCAATATTTGGTGAGGTGCAAATAAGACTTACATCTGAAGTGCTGTAGGGAGAGTGAGGAAGGAGAGCACTCCAAGAGCAGCATCAATGGTCTCTTCCTGAGAAGCATTACAGCCCCACGGCATGCCACTTGTAGCTCCCTTCACCACAACGCTCAGATCAGGGTTGGCAAAGAGCATGTGGACTGTGTCCATCATTTCTGTTGTGGTAGCAGGGACAGAGATGGCTTTGAACATTGCAGGGTAGTCAATGTAGAAGAGGTCTATGAAGTCATCCATGGGGTCCCTTGGCAGCATCAACGGGGCCTCACGTCTGTGTCGGATCCTCGTCGTATGGTTACCGGCTGTCATGTCCTTCTGAAACATGCTTGGACGGTGGTCCATGGGGGTCAGAAGACCACTGGTGCTTACCAACTGCCTCAGCAGTGCAATCAGGTTTCCAGCTAGGTCTTTAAGCTCCATGTTTACTGACATGTCCCCACTCAGCTGGGTCAGACCAGACAAGAGAGGCCCGATGATGTCGTACACTTTGGCCAGAGCCTGAGTCAGCAGATCCAGTCCAGACGCTTCAGTGTAGCCCCACCATGCACAGAACGCGGCCACCTTCTGCACAATCACGCTTGAGCCGTTGGAGCTCAGAAATTGCTCCAAGGCTTGGTAAACCATATGCGCATTCCCAAATGCATTCATGTCAATCACCTGTTTTACCGCTTCCCTTATCATTTCGGTAAGAGGCGCTTCATTGAGTCCGGAAGAATTTCCCCACATCATGGAGAGGATGTCGTCTGTCGTGATGTTTGCAGAGAAGAGGAAGATCATTGCTGCCTCTTCGAAGAGGTCCTGGGATGAGCTGTTGTCTTGAATGAGATGGCAGTTGTCCAGGATATGGCTCAGTGATTTTTCTATAGCTTCAGTGTAAGGCTGGATGAACGGGGCCACATTTACCAGCTCATCTGAGAGCATTTTGAAGGAAGACAAACTAAAGGCGAGGGGAGAAATTTAATGAATGTCAAGTTAATTCTTTAGATTCAGTGTCATGTGTAATAAATGTCAATATGAATAAGAAGGAAATGAGATAATTATAAGATGTAAAGCACTTCTATGGACAATGGACTAAGGACTAATTCTGACCTACTTCTTCCGTGGAATGCAAACCATGTTTTTGATTCATTTCCTGAACACAGTGATTCCATAGAATTTGAATTCCTTAGCTTTGACCAGAAGTAATATCTCTTCATCTTCTTATTCGCATAGTTTTCCCATTTCATCCTTGATAATAGACTGTGTAGTCTTTTCACTGTGATCAATGATCTATAACTCATGTAGTCAGACCTGATGGTTTCCCTGTGATATGCACAATGTGATCCTTATCGCCATGGCCGGCTCATTATTGCAGCTGGCGTAAAGGGAAATCAATTTATTTTAAAAGCATGTCTCAGCTAGGTGAATCATGCTTAAGCTGCTAGCGGTGCAGACCTGCCTATCCCATTAAATGAATCAAGTTGAATGCAAATGTGATCACTCCAATTCCTTGTGTAATTGGGTATAAATTAAATTGGTCTGACTGGTTCATCGTGGATAATGTAACAACAAATGGCAAGGTGAGTTAATCTATGTATAACTGAGTCTGTGTCAGGATGCAACTGACTCTCAACAGAATATAATGGACATTTCTACAGTCAGATAACATATCGTTAATCAGAATGACCAGTGGGTTTTGTTTAATGGCTGCACTATATTTTAATTGAATTGCCTCATTGTCCTCATAACCTTTGGCGTCAGTGTGGTTTGGTCCGTCTGATATGAAAAAATTGGGAACAAACGTATGCTATGACGGATTTATCTCCATAAAAAGAAGCAGCTGCTCTTTCATTCTAACACACTGATGCAACAAATTGTTTTTGAGAGTCTACAGGGATAATTTAATGTGATGTCTCATCCATAATCACTTAATAACTGCATGGATCGGGGATGACAGATTCAAAGTTTTTTTTTCTGATGGATTTTCCTGTTAAGCATAATAAATAATAGCCGGAGTGAAGGGCACATCTTATTAGCAATGACATAATATTATTGTTGCTGTAAATAGTCACCTGTCTTGCAACTGCATGTCTTGGAGCTGCTTGTACCAGTGTAGCTGCGCCTCAGGGCTCAGAGGCTGGCCTGCAAGCTTAGAGAGCTGGCTATACAAAGCTGCAAAAAGCTGCTCTGTCACAAGTGCGCTGTTTATGTTGACTTGGTAGAGAGACTGTACAGTCCTGACAATCCGGGCAGATGTGGCACTCACAGTCATTGGTCCCACACCCATGTGCTGCAAAGAAAACATGCAGCAGAGATGGACTGTTAGCAATGTGGCAGCTTTGTCTGTGTATCAACACTGCCACCAAGCGGTGAAACTGTTAATTGTACCTGAATAAATGTAACATTTTTCGGCACACATTTTAATATTTCAGTTTGGTTTGTGAGACAAACTAAGACTATACTATTCCTCTATTACATGTGTGTGCACTTTCCTTTTTAGTTTGCCATGCACCTACTTACACTCGTGTTCATGTGTGTGTAGACAGTCTGGGCTGCAGCACAGGCCTCAAAAACAGGCTGCAGGCTGATGTTGCACCACATAGCCATGGTGGCGTTGCTTAACCCTGCTGCCTCTCTCACTGGCTCCCATGCCTTGAGAACTTGACTGCACTCCAACGTGCCATTAGCCTAAAGGGAACATAGTCAATGTCTTATCATGTTTCACATGTATTGTTCTGAAAAAACCTGTTGTTTGCCATACAGTGATGGAAAAAGAACACAGGGTTGGTGAGACAAAAGGTAAAGGCACAAGGGAAATATTATGATCGCTCTGTTCATGCAGTTTGCTGAGAAGCAAAGAAAAGGGCAGAAGTCTCACACAGGTATCACAGTACCCACCCAAACATGCTGTATATGCATACACAATGAGTCTGCACAAACACTGGGTCAGCTAGTCAATCTCTTATAGATTGTAGATTTATACTGAGATACACACATGACAAAGAATCAACACTTTAATAGTGCTCTGCTACACTACACTTTCTTTCATCATGGTATGGATTCGAGTAATTGCAAATTTTGAGCATTTATGATAAATTCATAGAAAATGCTTTCTTGCTAAGAGATGAGAAGGTCGGTGTCTTTGCTGTAACTAAGCTGAGTGTTACCTGTTTACTAGGTACAAATGCACAATTGAATGTGATCCAATAAAACAGCCCTGCATGTAAATCCTATATCTATCAAGTTATATTTGTTTGTTCACACTGTAAGAGGTGATGATATAACGTATTAGTCATATTTGGAGCACTGTTTGGATGTGGTATTACATTGTAAATAAGAAAATATATGCTTGTCAATATATGGCTGAAGCTGTAGTTTGGGGAAGCATATGTGACAAAACCTGACAAGGACCTAAGTTGTTTTTGCTTGGCTGTTTTTTTTCTTCTTTTGGATATTAGAAGGCCTTTTATCAGTGTCAAAGACAACACTTCTTACCCCTGACTTCCTACCATTAAGCAAGGTATATTCTTAACCTTTAGATGAAGTAAAAATAATTTAAGTCCCACAAACAAATCCCAGCCAATATCTAGTTGACAGCAGTGTCCTGATAATGTCATTCAAAGTGCTAACCATTCGAGTCACATGCACATGTTATCTGTGTCCTGAAATGACAACATTGTCTTTCAAAAGCCTTTTAAAAAAGGGTACATAAAAGTGCAAATGGATGACGGCAGGTGGAAAGATTCTAAAGAAAGATACACCCCCACTATGCTCTTACATCAGTCAAGTAGTGGAATCTATCAATACATTAGGTGTGCCACCTAGATTAGAACTAAGGTTTTGTTGATTGCAATAATGCATGAAGAGTTATGCACTGGTACAGGAGCTCACCTCTTACCTCACTCTCTCTCACATGCTAACCTGTCCACAAAAGAAAAGGCCAGCAAATGACGGCGAAGAAACGAGACACAGAGGCACAGTATGTACAAAGGTACAGTAGAACAGTAGCAGTCTAACCTGTTCAGCTGCCTGCACCGTGTGTTCTATGGCAAGCTCCATTCTTTCCAAGGCCTCAGACAAGTTAAAATGACTGGAGTTCACAGACCGTGTAATTTCATTGATCAATGTCACCACAGGCATCTGAAGGCTTTGAATCATCTCTGGGGGAAGACAAAGGGTTTGATCAACATGAATGGCTTTCCAAAAAAAAGGTTAGGTTTAGATAACAAAATTGGCTATTTTTATGAAATGGTACAGGAGACACTTATGCAGTTTCAGGTATGTTTCAGGTGTCTCACAGTGGGAAAGGTGTGCTTTGACAAGTCTTAAGGGGACATCTGTTTACTTGTACTGAACATAGGAAACAATTCTCCCTTCAGTCAGTGAATCTTGTTCATTCTTACTATACAACAGTGATGATTCTGGTAAACTAGTCTATCCCTGTCCTGGCTAAAAAAAATGTAAGACAGCTGTAACAGCTTTGCTGTTCAGTATTCTCCTCACCGTTCTGTGCTTGCATGTTGTTTACCATACTTCCTATGATTTTCTCAAACTGTAAATTAACAGTTGGGACACTGTCCCATTGCTCTGTTCCTTTGAGGGTTGACAGTAGGGTGTGTAGTATCTCTTCAAGTCTGTGACAACACACATGGAATTTGGTTTAGGGCAATCATAGAAGCAACTAAACAGTGGTTTATATTATGAAATTTAAATAATACAAATCATGCAATTTAATATCAACTTGCTGCCTAAAAAAAATGAAGTAATTACTTGTTTGGTTTGTTTCCAACAGAAGTGGTAATTAAACTTACTTTTGCCACGTGTCTTGGTCGGCCTTCCCAGTCATCACTTGCTCCAGGACTGGAACAAGATGTGCAAGGCCCCCCAGAGATGGAGCAGTTGTATGTGAGCCTGGGCCTTGCATAACGAGTGGCCAAAGCATGCTCAAGAGTTTGCCCATCTTACAGCGAAAAAAAAAAAAGGGGAAAAATGGGGAAAAGAGTGAATACATTTTATTTGCCTAACCTCAACTACAGGAGTTGTATTTCATATGTCCTTTGATCTGTTACATATCTTAAGAAAACAATGAGTTCAGGACCCATAACCGATAAATGATAAGATCATGTTTTTGTTTTGTTTGACTGTCCATGATCATAAGTGATGTACGCGTTTCAAAACCCTCATACTGGCTTGTAAACATGTGTGGTTTGGAACTGGCTGTTGGCCAATAGTTTTAGTAGCAACACAATACACAAGGCATTGACATGGTTTGTCAGCATTTTAGTTTTAAATTTTTGTAATGTTTAACTTGCAGACTTTTAAAATGTTTAATTTTCCACAAAATTAATTCACACTTGAAAGGAGAAAAAAAATTTAAAAAAAAAATCATAATAAACTTACATGTTACAGTGTTTTAAGCCTTACCTTGCCAAAAATGAAGGGCAAATCTTCTACTGATGCACTCTCAAAAGATGCCCAGAGACTCATGTTTCCTGAAATTACAAGAAATATTGTTCACAAAGTCAATTTCAATGTCAAAAAAACTAAAATAATCTCCTGTGTGAAACTTGATCTTGTTCTTACAGACAACAAAAACATTGTGCTACTTTGATCTACAGCTCTTGATCTGTCTGGCATCATCGCTTGAATAATGAAGTGCACAATGCGACCTCCAATCCATCAGAGTTCATCGGGATTCAACACCTACAATGACACGGAAAAGCTGACTTGCCTTGGCCAGACTCCATGATAAAGTGCGTGATGTGAATGAGGGTGGAGACGTAGGCCTGTGCTGTGCTGTTTGGCGGTAGGAGGTTCTGGACTGTTTTCATCTCCTCCAGAATCCTTAAGAAGCAAAAGCACATCAATATTTCATTTGACTCATCAAAAGGTCATCATGTCAAATCCAAGACCTGTGGTTGTTAAACACTTTTATCCACTGAGGGGCTATTATTCTTACATGCATCATGAATGCAATTAAAGGTAGAGTCTGTGATTTTGGACAAAGATTTTTGATATTTGAACTTAATACACAAACAAATACACTCCTCCTGTCTACCCGTCAAAAGCTCCTTTAGAACTTTAGCATGTACCAGATTTACCGCCCCCCTCGCTGCCACTGCCATACTCTCATACGTCCCTGGCCTTTCCCCTGTCCTTGCTGGAATGGTGTTGTGTGGCATTGTTTGTTGAGCCAGGGCTGTGTATGAATACCAGATTTATTTTTAGCACGAAACAGAATGGACAGTTAGCAGACCGTGAGATGACAGACTCCACCTTTAACTAGGACAGGAGAACCCAAAGCACCTTGAATACCAAGGACTGCAACTCAACCTCTTTAACACAGATGAAAAATGCTATGAGCTAAAATGTGCATAAATTGCTCTGTAGAACTGCGGGTAACTGCTGTCAGGTGATAGTGGGTTCCTCACTACATGACTTTTTCATTTGGACCAAAGAAATTTTAAGGAAATAGCAGAATTACTCACAACTGATTCCAGCTGTCTGGTCCACTGACCACGGAGATGCTCTTAAAATACGTGGTCGCTACTTTGAGTCCACAAAGCAAGTATTCAGCGAACATTTCGGGTACTGTTTGTTGGATGATGCTCTCAGCCCTCTTGAGGATGAGGAGGGAGATGTTACGTGATGAGGCAAAACTCATGTCTGTTTGGACAATGAGCTGAAGTGAGTCCTGCACAATTTCCAGGATGTTCTGCTGTACAGAGAGCGGCAGGGGGCCTGTGGCTGCGGTCAGGATCTGCATAGCACTTTGGAAGGCTTCCAAGACGGCAGCTAAGAAGTGGTCACTCTGTAGGCCACCTGGTTGCTCTGCCACCATTAGGGCTTTGCTCAGGGACTTGGTGATATTGCCAATGGCGGAGAGGTAGGCCTGTTGATCATCACCGAGAACAGTTGCCATCGTCCCCAGCAGGTGCTGGAGGTCTGTCACAGGGGTGGAGACATTCATGTCGGGGTTTCCCCATTGGAGCATACTACTGAAGATCGACTTGACATTTGGTTGTTTCATCCACTTCTCTATTAGGTCGAGGTATTGATTGACTTGGAGCTCAGCGACATGAAGAATGGTTGTGTTTTGTAACGACTGGTTAGCACCTGGAAAGTTATTCTGAGCCTCTACGTTGGCCATTATCAATTCAAATTGACGCCGGACAATCTCAACCGTTGCCAGGCCAATTTTAATCACCCCTGCACCATCTAATGGGTACTGGAGGTCGTCGATCAGGAACTCGACCTGCTTACTTACAAACAAAGAGAAATCCACCTGTGCCAGCTGTAATGTCACTTGCATGTGTGTGAGGTAGTAAAAGGGAGTGAGGAGCTCTGAGACGGAGCTTGCGCTGGTGATATTTTCCAGCCTTTTCAAGTACCATTCCACAATATCTAGATATACTTTCTGAGCATACATGGGGTTCATCAGAGAGGTGTTGTTTAAATTGTTGAATGGTTCAGTGTTGGCAACCAGTTGTATGAGACCCTCTACCACTGTGATTTCATTCATGATGTCTGGAGTGTACAGCTGGTTCAGCTGGAGGTTCATCTTGATATTGGCCAGGGTGCTGTTCAGGGTGTGTGCGAGAGCCATGTTAGGGTTGGAGCTGAAGTTAACTTGGACGACATCACTGATAGCGTTATTGACAATTAATGGGATGAGGGAGAGGATGGCTGTCTCATTACGGAGAGCAGGTAGGTGAGTCAGGAAACCGCTGACACCGTTTATCAATCCCATAACACACTGTGCTGTCATCATCGGGTCACGCTGTTGTTCGTAACACTGGCGAACATTGATAATCTCCATTACATTCACCATCATGTCGTTTATGTTGGCAGCTCCAGCTAGTGCAGCAATGTCGTTCAGCTCCTCAAGGGTGAGGTTTGCCTGCCGCAGAGCATTCTGGACATCAGACACAGTAATATTTGGTGTATCCATGATCAATCTGATGAAATGAAGAACCTGCTTGGATGTTTTCACACAGGCAGTATCATTAGAGGACAGGAGTGAGAAGAACAAGGATGTCATTTCCTCATATTCCCGTCCCTCCAGAACAGAGTTGGTCGCAGGTAATTTGATGGTTACATTACCGTTGGCTGAGAGCATCATGTCTAATATCTGATCCAGGAATGTAAAGATCTCTGAGATCCCAGACAAACAGTTTTTGCCTTCTGGACATTCCGTCATCTGATTCTGCAGAGCTTTGAAATCCTGGAGAAAGCGGGCAGCCTCCTGTTGGACCTCAGGTGGTAGGAATGCAACAAATCTTTGTGCAATAATGTTCTGAGCAGCATCTGGTCCAGCCTGAGACAGGTTCTGAAGGCCTTCTGGGCTTAAAAGGTTGAGAAAGTCCCTGGCAATCAGGTGGAGGTCAGTGACTTGGGCTGGGCTAAACTGCCCATTTGGTAACGGAATATGTTGCATTTTTCGCAGTCGAAACAGAGACATCACGCATTCTTGAAGCTGGTGTAGGTACCCAAGAATGATGTTAGTTGGGTCACTGTTTGGAGAATCCATGACTTTCTTCAGTAGCTCCATGGCACTGAGGATGGCTTCTACGAGGCCTGCTGAGGTCTGGTTGGTGAAAGGTTGGAGCGCTTCTCTGAGACGGCCCACTTCTTCAGGTTGGAAGTAGTTTGAATAGGTAAGCAGAGTGTGTCCCGTGATGTGGGAGAGAGATAGGGTGAGGTTACCTTCCAAGGAGAAAAACTGCATTATCAACCGTTCAAGTTCGGGTATCGTTGGGTCTGTCTCATTGAAGCTAAAAATGTGCTGGTTGAGCCTGCCGAGCTTTGAGGAAACATCGAGCACTGTAGAGACATTCAGGGGACCATCACCGAAGAGCAGAGGAAGCAGTGGTTTCAGACCCGTGGACTGCAACAGGTTACCGACGAGGGGAAGCATGACGTCAGGGTTAGTGATGTTTTGGTCAGGAAGCATGGAGATCGTGTTGACAAAGCCATCCAGGGTTTGCATCAGGTTTATCAGGTAGGCTGAGAGTGCATCTCCACCTTTGATTCCTTTCAAATATGATCCTGCCAAATGTTTATAGACGTCACCGTATACATGCTGCAACAGATTCACCGTTCCTTTGAGACAACTACAGAGAAAAAGAAATGAGTGGCAAAATGTCAGAAAATTGCTATGAGTACAGTTGGTAAATCAGTAACAACAATAAATAATACTTCTTGTGTTAAAACTCTGTCTGTACTCTGTTGAATTCTGTATTTGTGCAAAAAGGCTGCCCATCTAATCATATTACAAATCAGTTCATGGTTATCATTTAATTAAAGGAATGGTTTGACATAAACTAGTTCATTTTTGGGTTGTTAGTTGAGAATACTGATACCACTCTCATATCAGCCCACTTAATATTAAACTGCAGCTTAGCTTAGCTTTGCGCAAAGCCTAGGAAGGATACATGAGGAAACAGCTGGCTGTACCCGTCCAGTACCTCTGAAACTCACAAATGAACACATTATATTTGGTTTGTTTATTCAGTAGAAAAGCAGTAAAAAAAAGTTGTGGATTAATTGGGGATTATATACGGAACTATTTCTTGGCCAGGCTTAATCAACAAATAGTCCCATACATAGCTTTAAGGTTGCTATTCAGTAGATGCTAAGCTAAGCTAACCAGCTATTATTTAACATGAATGTGAGTGGTATAGTTCTTCTTATCATTATACATTTTCATATCATCCTAAATAAATGAGTCAACATTTTATCAACAAATGAAAGTCAGTAACAGAACAGCAAATGTAATTCCAGAGCATATGGAATACATGCATTGTGTCCACGTTCAAAAAGACACCATTCATTAAAACTAACAAGTACAAGCACTTACTTCACCAGGACATCTTGGTTTGGTGACATCAGAGCCTGAGTCATTGCTTGAACAAACTGTGGCCATTTCAAACCGTTATCGCAGTGAATGGCTGAGTAGTCCATGTTAATAGAACCTAAAGTGTGAGATAAATATACATACATACTTGAATTGGTTGTGTTTTTTCTACTATGTTAAATAAATCATAACTTGGTTTTGAGTAAATTTGTTTTGGCGCCAAATGAATAAATATACATATATTTGCCCTGCATGTTTCATTGAACCTCATTGTAGCGGCCTAGCGACTTATTTGCACCCTGGATTGCATTGATGTATGCATTTGATAGTTAAGGAAAAAAAAGAAATGATACTCACAGTTTGCTGGCTGAGTTGTGACATCGGGCCTGTAGTTCAAAATCCAATAAAGCATGTGGAAATAGTTCTTTACCTCGTGCCACAGTTGAGTCTTCTCAATCTTTTCTCCCAAATTCACCATGAACAAGGAAGCACTGCAAGCAAAGCAAAGCACAACACTGTTGAGAGAGTGAAATGATACACGACAGCATAAAATGAGACATTGTGCACTTAAAACACATAATTTGCCCAAAGTCTTCACTGGAACAAAATGTTGTTGGGCCTTAAACCTTAAATCTTTTCAGTTAAAGACACATGCTCTGGCATGAAGGCCTGCAGGTCAATCAATTCATCAATCATCATCATCAGCGCTTTCTCAAAACCTTTGTTGAAGAGTCCATGTAACATCATGAGTGCTGTTGTCTGGCATGCAGTTCATCCAGTATTCTCCAATTAGCTTTGACGCCAGTTTGTTCAAAAGCATACCAAACTGCACGCTGCTATTGCACAGCTTGTGCCACTGAGAGAGAATCATGGGAAGTGTCACGTTGTAGTCGTCTCTGTCTGTCAGGGCGCTGTATACGACTTGTGCCTGTGGAAACATAAAATTAGTATTTCTCTATAACATTAGATATTAATGTGGGTTCATGTAGGGATCTGTTGTTACAGACATTCATATTGACAGATTAAATAGATTGTGTATATTTCTACATTACAGAACAATCCAACCCTAAAACAAGGACATTTACTCCAACACAAAATACCACAAAAACAATAAAGAAAAGATAATAGTGTTGCATTGAGTTGGACTTATAAATATTTTTTGTTTTTTCCGAAATAACTCTTCAAATGCAGTTCAGTTAACCTTTACCTTCTGAACCAACGGCAGCCAGTCCATTAGTAGCGCTTGCTGTAGAGCGGAGCTGTTCTGACAGATCACTGATCTCCACAACTCGATCTTTATGCTTTCTGTGTTTAAGAGCCACTCAAAGGGACCCAAGAGATCTTCACATTGTGTAGGCTCAGACAGAATCTAGTAAAACAGAAGCAAAACGCACAAACTCATGAATGTTTGTTACCTTAATTATTTTACATACAATCATCAAAAACCTCAAACATGTCATGCCCTGAAATGTGTTTCCCAAAATGAAAACACAGAAAATCAAATCGTCACAAGTCAAGGTAGAAATCCTGTCAGCGGATCATTAGTGAGTAAATTATGGCAGACAGTTGTTCATTGTCATGAGGGAATTCTTGCACAATGTTTCATAATAAAGCTTTCAATAATGCTTGGTCGCTCAACATGCCCTTTACAAAACAACAAGTGAGCCAGTATAGTTAACTAGAATTTAGTTATGTTGATTTTTGCAACCTGGGTCTTGTTTCAGCAGTTTTAGCCCTCTTTTCTTGTTTCATAACTATGGTAAGTACTATAGTTTGGAAACTGCTTCAACCTGTCTTTCAACCCGTCTGATTGATTGTGCTAGTGCCCAAACCTGCTGTCTATGTCTTGCTGCCAGCCCACATCTGAGCAATGACAGTAAGCTGTTGTGAAACTATGATGCATGAAACCACAAAAGGTTTTAACATGAGGTAATCATTGTTTAAGCGATTACTATGAAAATGCTTTTTTTCAGTTGGAATACCACAAGCATACCTTTGGAATCATTTCGATAATTTCCATCACATTGTCCAGGACGTGAGCAATCCAAACGCTTGCCTCAGACTGGTTTGTCAGCAACGTTAGAAAAGTCATTTGGAGTTGATCAGCATCTTTCAGGACACTGAGCATCATATCTGCAAACCAGGGTTTGTATAGAACACAAATGTATATAACAAAGACAGAGCTACAGTTATATTCTGTGATATGCCATGAAACAAAAGTACATTTTCAACACAATTTAAAAAAGAAATCCACCTTCGGACACTGTTATGTCACCACTTATCACACAATTTCTGTTGAACATTACATCCCAGGGAGGTTTTTTTTTGTAATAAAGTGATATCATTTTCCTTTTTGTGTGCGTATCCATTTCCGTATAATAACTCCTCTAGTCCTACTTTGATTCAAGATGTTTCATCAGTCCCCTGAGAAAGGGTGTGAACTTGATCCATTCAACACGGGGTCATACTTTACACAAACTCCCGGTAGAGAAAACAATGACTGTGGCAGTATGTGACAAAAAAGAAAGTCATACTACACTGAACGTAATATCTCCTGTGAATGTGTTCATTTTTAGATTTTGTCTTTCTGCTCTTGCTCTTTCATTGTAAGGGCTGATACCGAAAAGTTTTCTGTCAAAATCTATTTTATTTTGACAGAAAAAAATGTTTGAAGGAATAACAAAGCTCTTTTTAATAGTTTTGAAAACGCAAACTTTTTCACTGAGGCTTCAATGTGAGCAGGATGTGTTGTAGTCTTACCTTCAACAGTATCAAGGGCCAGTGTTGCTGACTTCATGGAATGAAAGCCAGTTTGGAGGATGCTCTGGACAACCAGATCCAGCTCTGGCACAAGTTTTATAATCTCCAACACCACTTGACCAACCCCTAAAAACCTGCAAAAGTACAAGGCCAGACTCAAAATACCGTACACACTGTTCAGATTAAAGTGAACGATGGACTTTGTGTATAGTTCTCTGATATTTAGCATGATGTGAGGAAGGAGAATTTTGACTTAAGAAAAAAAAGGTTAGGCTAATTTCAGATGGTGAGGTTGAGAAAGACAAACAGGTAAGAGAGAACACAAGGTGGTTTCCAGTTTGTTCTTTCTAAGTATAACATATTAAATAAGAAGTTTCGGTATAAAAAATACATCTCTGAAGTGATTTCCCAGAAGAAAGGCTAACTTTGCTGTTTCTAAACAAAAATAAGAACCTGCCTACCAATAAACCTTTCAACTCCTTCCACATGTCTGAATATTTGTATGACATTCAGAAAGCCTGTTCAGGTGCTTCAATCAAATTAAATGTTTAGTTTTTGCAGCGTTTAAAAATGGCAATGTACGGTACTGTACTTACAGCTCCTCATCAACGTTTTGTGGTTGTGTAACTACGCTACGCCGGGTCCTCGTGATGTTGGAGCCTCCTTGTCCTCCTGGGTATACACCTCCCATCACACTGTGCAGGAGCCCTTTGGCGAAGGACAGATCATGTGGAGCAACATTCTTACTCCATACCAGGAGAGCCTGGAAATAATATAGATTACATATGGGAGGAGAAGTTTTGCTGAATAAGATTTGCAAAATCAAAATCATTTTTAGCAAAATCCAACGTGTACAATAACTCCTGCCTCTTTCTGTCTGCCTCTAAACAATAATCTCGACATATTCACATTTTGATTGGACTTGTTATATTTATGTTTCTCGACTGTTGCAGGGCTTTCTTTTTATCTTATATTTTCTCTTACTATGTTTATTGTCATGCACCAAAATCAAAAGGCAAATTCCTCGTATGTGAAAACCTGCTTAGTAATTAACCTGATTCTGATACGCCAGCATTAGATTGCTGATTGATGGCTGTTTGAGCGAGTTCACAGAGTGACGACAGTGTTAGCTAACAGCTTCTGATTGGGAATTATCTCATCAAAACAGATCTACCATACTGGCAGTGCTAATTGGATGCCTTTAAGGCTTCTTTTCCCCAGGTGCGATCTGGGAGTCGCAGTTGCTTGTTGCTATGGCCAGCAGCTTTCTTTTGCGGCCACAGACTAATCATTCGGCGCTCTCTGAATCTAATTAGAAGTGATGGTGGCCCTGGAGAATGCAAATTAAGAGCAAGGACATAAGTACACTGACAAGATACATGAAAGAAAGTATGAGTCAGACTGTAAGAAGACAAATGGCACCCACACGCATCAAGAAGGTGACTCATTTCTGATGTCTGCGATTCTCGCTCTTGATAACATAACATCAATATCATTCTAACATACCTGCTTTGCCACCTTATCAGGGCTGATCCAGCCCAGGAGCATGCCCACTGTCCCTGTACTGCACGCTGCGGTTAACCACAATGGCTTACTGCTGTTGCCACACAAGTGCAAATGCACCATGTCTCTGTCCAATGTTAGGCCGATAGCCTGGAGAAGGGAAGAGAATCACAGTAAATAGAATGAAACTGTGATCAAAAAGTAGTGACTCATCTATGGAATAATTATTACCACAAATAGTCACACAGTAGTCAAACCAGTGTTTAATCAATTTCATAGCTTTTGAAAATACACTTAGAATATATATGCAGGTAACACTCTCATATTGGTCCTTTAAATATGAAGCTACTGCAAAAAGATTGTAGGCTTAGCATTAAGGCTGGAAACAAGCGAATTCAGACTGGCTCTGTCCAAAGGTGCAAAAAAATTCAGAGGGTTGGGTTTTTGTTACCTTTAAGCAGTAGTTTCTAGCTAGCAGTTTCTCTCTGTTTCTAATCTTTATGCTGAAGGCGTGAGAGTGGTATCGCTCTTCTCATCTAACTCTTGATGAGAAAGTAAATGAGAGCAATTCCCAAAATGTTGAGCTATTCTTTTATATTGCAATTGTCAGTTCAACTTGACTTCCCTGTCTCAAATCTCAAATGTAAAAACAAATGTGGCACAATAGCCACATTTGCTCTGCCAGCATGTGGTGTCAACCCACATGCTGGCAGAGTGGGTTGAAACCAGTTTGGCAACCCTGAAGATAGAGCTGCTGCTCTTTTACTTTAGCCTTGATATTTACAATGTGTGATATGAAATTACACAAATCTAATTTAGGCAAGGCATCTAATAAAGATTGGTATACTTTTTTGGTTACCACCTTTTATTTTCATAGCGTGGCATGCCGTGTTTTGTCTATTTTTTGATGACAGTCAACACGTACCTTGTCCAGTGGTATTTTGACCTCTTGTAGAACACGTTTTACCATTTCACTTAGTGAATCGTTCTGCAACGTGACAACCTCTCCCAGGGAAATGGACACATCTAAGCACAATCAAATCACGGGGTCAGATGTTACATTCCAATGGCATTGTGGCTTCCAGCAACATGACTTCATGCCTTTATTGTGATTCAGCATTTTAAGAAATGATACTGTAACATTAGGGTATATTAAGTAGCCTTACCAGTGGTGAATGTATCCACATATTTATAAAAATATAAATCTAATATACATTATAGCCAATAAATAAATAAAAACCACTGGCTGATGTATGGTATGGTTCAGTACAGCTGATGGAAAGTCACCTTTGCCAGGCCAGTTTTGAGCATAGTGGATCAGGTTGATGCCTCCAGCAAGGAGTGGATGCACCGCAGAAAGTGAGGCACCGGCTTCAGGGATAATGCTCTGGATGACATGCAAAGCACTAGAGAGACCACGGGGTGAAAAACATTTAGACAGAATCTGCAGCAAACGTTTGACAAGCTAACGATTTGACAAACACATACTGTTCTTTAGAACTGTGTTCTAAATCCTTAAATCTCAGACATTGTGGTTTGCAAACAGGGCTGGACCTGGTGTTTATTTATTTCTAACCTGGAATGTATTTATACCAAAACAGCCAATAGCGTATGGGTTTCACATATAAATGTTTAAACCACAATATGATAAGTTCTGTCTCGCAGCTCTTTAAAGTCAGGTGATTCACTTCACGCAATCACTTAAAACTATTCATTAAGAAATTCTTAACCAATAGAATATGAAGCAAACAGTAAAGTTGAATGCAGGATTTACAAGCTGTTTAAATGAGCCATGTTAACTGATAGACAACGTGCCGAGGCCTTTATCAAATATTTAGTACAACACAGCATACTTCTACTACCTTCATATGTTTTTTTCTTTTCTAAACTTACTAAATAAATAAACACCTGTATAGAGCTTTCCCTTCATTCATTTTTTTAATTTCTCCATCATTGAAAGTACATCACCCCTGTATGTTGGTGAGTAGGCCCTCTGCGCCGGCCAGCACATGGTCCTCAGAACTGGAAGAGAAGAGCCGGGGAATAGCTAGAAGGTTTTCCCACAGTGAGGTCTGATTTTGCAGCTGATCGAAGACCAACACCGCAGCCCCAGCCAGCGTCATCATCTCATCTGGTTTTGTCACCATCAGATCCGTCAGTATCTGACAACCAGAGGGGATTTCAGAGTCAACAAAACAAACGTGACTGCACCAGTTTGAACTTAGCATCATCCCACTGTCCTGATAAAAAACAAGCTGATAAATGCATGCAAAACAAACAGAAACACACACCTGGTTGAGTGTGTTGAGCGAGACCTCCAACACGGTGTTGTTGGACTTGCAGAAAGTGACCGCAGCATGGGAGAGGGAGTTGGCCGATGTTGTGTTTACCATGGGCAGCGTCATTTTGCAGATGGCTGCCTTCAACAGGTTTACTGACTCCAGCATTTTGTTCAAGGTCTGCGAGATTACAGTTATGCATTAAATGATGGTATTCATGCAAAAGGTAAATCTGTAAACTATTATTAGATTACAACTCTAATGGCGATTGTGCCTTCACATCACATTGTTTACATTTCCATTATCAACTGTATCAATGAATTGTTAAAGAAATCAATACACCATATACCATAGTATTCACTATTCACTTTGGAAACCAGTCGAATAACTTACATATTGCAAGCTTTAGTTTTAAATACTTATTTTTATCCCAAATTGCTGTTGTCATTTTTGAAGGCTTTGATGAGTGGCTTGAATACTCTGGATTAAATTGAATTATAACTGTACTAGTTTCAGAATCTTAATTGGCTACTGCGTCTATAACACCTTCCCAATTCTGCTACAGCATAATGTCCTACCGCAGAGGAAGTTGAGAATTTAAAATCCTCAATGTCCTTCCATAGTGTCACGTATAAAAGAGGAAATAAAATAAAAGGAAATTTGAATTTTAAATAAGCCTTCTGGCCTTTCCTAAAAGCATTTTTTTTTTTTTTTGCCAGAGAATAAGGGACTGTCTGCTCGTAACAATGACCGATTCAGAAGACACCAAACAAGGGTTCAATTCTGTGGGACTTGATTAAGTAAGAAGGCTGTTCCTTATTCTCCGCAGTTTTGTTTTTCCCATTACAATACCCACCTGATTTCCCAGGAGAGTGGTATTCATGGCGTTCATGAGAGAGGCATTATTCAAGCTTCCTTGGTTAGATGGACCTTTAACACAAGAACACACTGGCTGAATGTCAGTTACAGTAATGCCTAATATCACCTTATAATGCAAACATGAGAAGGGGCTGAAGTAAACAAAGTCAAATTTTTGGGTGCCAGTGTCAGAAAAGTGTGCCTAAACTTAAATGGGGCTCCTTGACACAAAAATAAAAGAAAGTACCCCTACCCAAAAGGTTGGTCAAGGCCTTAATCAGTGCTGCAGGATCCTTTCTGGCGTCTTTGGAGAGAGCAAAGTTCATATCTATCCCCTGAATCAGTAAGTTTGACCTGTAATACAGAATCAAAGGGATCAGAGGAGGCAATATAAAAATGCTCAACAAAATATATTATGCGATTTTAAACAGCATTCTCTCTGCCAGGATTTTTCCATAGAGGGTAGGTGGGGTGGAGATTTGTGTAATCCATCCTTCATCAGAAGGTTGAGGGTTGAACAAACAGGTTTTCTACCTGGCATCATCTTTTAAGCATTTGGAATTCATAGTGAGCTAGTTAACACTTGATCTACAACATAGTAGACAGGTTTCCATAAATAGAGGTGCCTGTAGTTCCCCTAAGTTTATGCAGCTCCAAGTGTCTCCAGGTTTGTTTTAGAGGAAAATACAGTACAAAAAAAAAGAAAAGTTATCAGTCATCTACTACTTAATAGTAGATAAAAGAAGAAAATAGCTATTCTAAAAAAGATGTTAATTTATATTCAGTTTTTTGACTTCCCTTCCACCACAGGATGTCTGTTGTTGGTACATTTCCATGATCACGCTCACTAATCGTCTCATGTGATTCTGATGGTGAGGCGTGTCCCTCCTTTGTGACTCAATAGTCCTCTGCACACACTTTTTCATATAAATCATATGACACCAATAGAGCCATTCACTACTTACGATGTTGACTTATAATTAAGCAGTATAGATATTATAAATAAATATAATAAAATATGATCAATATTTGTTTTTTCAGCAGTACAGGTCAGATAATAGATCGTGTACAATATGTGCAACTGAATGGGAGTACCTCGCATCCCTTGAGGTTTTCATAGTTGACTTTAATGCAGCTGGGTCCACAAAGCTTGATTTGTTTTGACAGTTGCTGTCTGTGTTGCACATGAGGGTCTGCAGGAAAGGGAAGAAGCCTGTGCTGGGCAGGTTTCGGGGTCTCACAAAACCTGGAGGAGACAATATTAAAGTTGTTGTTGCAGTGAGGATGCTTGAAAACATCACCTCCATTAGGAATTGTTTCAAAATCCCAGAAGACCATGTTCTTAATTATGTCCATTTGGCAAACAAAAGTATTTCATTGGAACTACTTGAAGTGAGTTACAGGTAAAAAAATACAAGCCTAAATATTACATTCAAGTCAAGGTCATATCATTAACTATATGTATGGGCTGGGAAAATATCATAAACACTACTTAAACTGTTCAACAACAATGTTACCAAGAGGTTGAAAGGGAAACTCATGCACCAAAATACGCTGAACATTTGTGCATTTTCTTGTAGCTCAAATGTCCGTATGAATTGTTCCAATTTGTTATTGATTTCTGTTTGACAAGATGTTGTTGCTTGCAGGGATATCTCCGACCACAAGATCAGGATCCTGAGCTAATTTCCATTTGTCTGTATCACTGCCAATGAATTGCTCCTATCATCTTTACAGAAAACAATTCTGGCTGTTGCTTAAAGTCAGACCAAAGAAAAAGAATGTGAGAATATGAGGTTTGGGTTACACTCAAGCCACTAGACTGACAGCATGGTACAACCCCTTCCTGCATATCCAACCCCTTCCTGCAAAGCCATAAATACTCGCCTAACGCGCTCCTTCTGTTCCGCTCTCGTATTTCGGTAACCCTCCCTCCCAACTTTCACTTTAGCACATGCCTCCAAATACAACAAGGACCATCTAATGGAAAATAGTTATTGTACATTTTCTGTAATGATCACAAGGAATGATTTATTAGCACTAAATAGTTCTGTGTGTGTTTGTAATTCGCAACACTACTACTACCTGATTCAAGACTACTTCTGGTCATTCCACAGAATATTATCGACCAAAGAAAAGTGAACAAACGAAAGTGGAAGGGGTTAACTGGTTACAATTAATACCAGAATTGAGGAAGGTATTCCTTATTACAATTTGCTTAAGAACCAGACTTCCTGGTAAGTGAAAGGCTCGTGGTGTGTTGCAGTCTCTGCCTCTCCTTACATCTACAACCCAATACTTAACTCCCATCTGTTCTTGTAGATGGCAACACAAAGGCAGACATATGTATTTAACGCTCCCTCTTTATTAAACACCTTTACCCACACTTATTGCAGCTAAATCAATGTCCTCTCAGTCAACTGCATTTACAAAAGTAAAGGAATACAAACACCATGTCAACAGTGTGGGGATAGGCTGTGATCTGAAGAACTATTCATTTTTCAGTTGGAATTTTCAAATTGTATACTTTGATTGTGAAACTGGAATGTCTGAGTGTCTAGCGGCAATTCTTTAAGATGCCAAACAAAAACCCCCATTAACACAATATGTCCAGTCATATTGTGTTAATGCAAACTTAAGCCTATTGGATCTTTCCGTTTCGTTTGCCAGATTTGTTTGTTTTTCCAGATTTTGCTGTCCTCATTATGAAAAGAAAGTTTCAAGTTAAAGATATCATCAGACTCATTTAATAACATGATTCAAATGTTTTTAAGTCAGCCGAGACATCTTTACTGTAATACATCGTAGTGCCGGGGTAGCTTAGGGGCTAATTAGGATAGTCAGGGCTGTGACTGATTTAAGGTGGTTGTTGAGATCTTTATTCTGGTTGCTTGCAGTTTCTTTAGTTTGTAAAGCATCAACAATTTGCAATTGATTGCATAATAGAAAGACTGTTGACATTGGATACTTACATGTCTCTTTTGTTATTGGAGGGAAGCTTTTGCGGGCCACACCAATGATTATGAAGAGGGTCAGAGGCCAGAGGATCAGAGTCACGGACCATAGCTATAACACAAGATATCATAATCATGTATGAAGAGTGTATATAAATAATGTGTACATTTTGAGTATCCCATGGTTCAATATTTCTGAAATTTGGAGGATCCCGTCAGTACAGGTGCTGTTGTTATGAAATGTAATTATTCTTTATGGAATTCAAATTATAGTAGTCATTGCACTTTAAAGTCACTTACTGGTCGTCTGATGACTGCCAGCCAATTCTTCCAGAGAAGAAGTTTCAGCTGCCGGAAGAAGGCCATCTCTACTGATGGCCTACTGGAGGCTAAAATGAAGACAAAATATATAAGAAGGATCCATCTATCCGTCAATAAGCTGTGTATAAGCATGGTTCCATTATATAATGTGTACATGAAGTCCTTTAATTGCTCAAAGGACTGAAAAGTAGAGTAACTCCATCTGCTAGGAATGAAAGTGTGATCCAAAGCTCCAGAACAACTGAGTAGACCTTGTGATAAGATTCATTTGTCAACTGTAGCCTTTGTATACAGGGTAGTCTAATAATCCAGATATAACAGATACATATCTACTGCCATAAGCTAGAGATAGAACATAAAGAACTAAATTATCAAATTCTTACTGACATTAATCGTATTTAACTAGAGGTGGCAAAGTTTGAAAGCTCATCACGAATCCACACAAAGTTAGGTCTGAAAGACAAAAAGATGACTTCATTCTTGATCGAATAATGAAAGATACAAATGAACCATTTAACCCACCTGGTTTCGTCTGTCCTGGTCAAATGGTTTGTTGTCTGAGCATTATGCCCTTTCCATTAACGTCAGTCGGGTTATGGGAGTAAACAGAGTCGAATCACGCAGCAGTACCTGCAAAGGACAAACTAACCACAGCCTTTCCGCTCTCTGTTCCTTGAGTTTATGGGAGTCGCAACACCTGTGCGAGACAACTTAAATCTGCGAGGAAGGGCGTGTGCTCTGGGTGCAACCTGCCTGCTCGAGACAAAGGAGGAGCGGCGCACTCCTGGGAGCAGCTGCAGGTCTACAACGCACCGGTGCCGGGGGGGAGGGAAACGCTTTGACGGGGGGGGGGGTTAGGTAAAGTTAGAAAGATATTGACATTTTAGCAACGTTTCGTTAACGATTTATTGAACCGGGAAGTCCGAATCTGACAACATCCTTCTAACTTTACCTAAGTGTGACGGTTGAACAGACTTCGACACAGCACCTGTTAGCAGGAACGGGATGTGACAGGAATGACACAAATTTATATTAGGATTACACTAAATAAAGACTCATTATGAGGGTTTTTCACACAGTGGTTAAGATTACCAATCGTGTTAAAAGGTTTTAAAACAGGCATGCACAAATACATGTTTGTTCTACAAGGGAGCGCATCAACTTAAAGGGGACAGGGCAACGCCAAGCGTCACATTACACAGTCAATTACCCAGGTTTGGAAGATGTGGTTGTGGAGGGATTAAAAAAAAATCACATGGGGATTCAACAGAAAGAAAGTAAAAACTATGCATATTCATCTTATGACTATGTTGAGAGGACAAAGACAAAATAAATCCAAGTTATGCCAACAGAAAAATAGTAATGTAACAAACAAAAGCATATGATTATAAAGAGTCAAGAATACTAAATAACTAAATTTATACATTTACACAAAACTAGAGGAGAGGGGGGAAGATTTCAGCCAGTAAAACCAGCTCTTCATGCAACAGAAGCGTGGTTGTCATTTTCTCCCTCACTCTCCCTCTCATATCCTGTGTGAGTGCAGGCCTTCATAAATAACACTGCTGATACAAACAATGCTGAATGACGTGACATTTTCCATTTAGAGTAGAGCCTGGACTTCCTGACAGAGCAAGAACTTTCACCGACAAAAGACACAAGTAAGTAAATTCCTTTTATGACAGTAACCTCTGCCTGTTGGGTTAAGTAGATTCGTTCCATTGTCAGACACTTTGGCAAAACAAAGGACACTTCTGGGTCGGACCAATAAAAGCATAGATGACATATGACACTGTTGTATTGTTAAAATCAAAGTTGTCCTACTGGTTTTCCATCTTGATAAGAAAATGTGGGAAAAGGTGTGGGAGCTGCTGACACAGGGGGAAACAATTAAGACTGCAGAAGCTGGTCTACAGTCGGGGATAGAACTCCAACATGGCTCTGAAAAGATGTTGTGTTTTTTAGGATTAAATTATGGTTTTCACAGGACTAGAGGAGGACCTAACAAGTAATGTAAAAGGATACCTACCTTGTACGCTCACCACTATTGCACACATTTAGCGTACAAAGACATACCGAGCGATATCAGGAATCTCTGCTGCTGTTCTAATGACTACATCTTAATGTTGAATCTGGGGTTGACATTATATAGAAGGCCCATATATTTAAACTGCCTTAAGCAGCACTTTTATTTTGTACTTGTTTAGTGAGTATAGCCTACACATGATCAATAACACTCCCATTACTGGGAATTGTACTTTTCTGTGAATATTTCAATGAGATGGATAGACATAGTCAGAATGTATTTAAATTATCTCATATTCGATTTTCTCCTATTTTTAAAAAGATGCTCTTTGGTGGTACATGGATTCTGAGTAAGTACAAACATGACTATAGATATAACCTCGTATGCACGTCATTTCTAAACTTCAGATGTTTATTTAATCAGGTTAAGATCAAGAGATATAAAAATATAGAACAGCAAACTAACTTTGTTTTCATGTTCACAAATTTGTTGCCAAGTATAAACTGTTCTGTGAAAACCTTTTTATTCAACATCAAAACTACACAACTACTGTACAAAGCAAGTCCTGAGACGATGCCCCTTTCCAGACAGATTTGAATCAAAATGCGGGCATCCTCAGGAATGGAAAAATAAAAAGAGCGTGTTGTATCAGAACAGCGTCATGGCTGGCTAGTGTTGACCAGACCCAGTGGCTCCTCCGTGGCATCTCAAATCCCTTCAATGGTAGTGTCATTAGCAATAACACTATTATGGTCACATAAAAAGAGAAGAGGCTGAAAGAATTGAGCACCATCAAAGGTCACCATGATATTGTTATTCATGGTGATACTTTTCCCACATCAGCAGTATTGTAATGTAATGACATGAAGCTATTGTTAACACTGGCACTGCATACACATATGAAATAAGGGGAGCGTTATTTCACACAAACACTGATTGGTGGAAGCACAAGCATAAGGGACCTCTTTTTAACAAATTGTTAGCTGCTTTCTGTCTGGTTCTCTATCTTAAAAAGTCCCCGGTGGAGTTTATTTTACCACTAGTGGCACTGATTGATTAGTGTTTGTATGCAAAGGCGCAAGGGCACACATGCAAGTGCACTAGAGTGAGGTGACGCAACACACTTACGCTAATCCACTGATCGACAGTCAGCGACAATAACTTGCTGAGAAACTAAATAATGTGCTTTAAAAAGACAGAGAAGAAGAAGAATGCTAGCAAACATGAATGAAAATATTGAAGGGAAATGCATTCACGAGTTATTTAGACCGAACAGTTACACACTTACACTTGTGGTAAGAAACACAGGAAACGACTTTACTTTTTTACACGAAAACTCCACAGGGTACCTTGAATTAAAGATGCATTGTCGTCATACTATGGTCCTGATCTCAGAATGCTCCTTCATACTTATGTTGTGCTATCTTTGAAAAACCAAGTTGTATATATAAAAAATAATAAAAGTGCTAAATTTCAAATTCGGAGCAAATCTATGATTGAAGGATTTCCTCCACACATCCATCAACATGGCGACAACTCAGCCAGCGGCTAGAAGCTAACGGGGCTAACAGCAAGAACCGTGCAAACAACAGAAACAGTGCTGACAGAGACAACAGCGTTAACCTGGGGGTGTGTGCGGTGTTATCAGTGGTAACCACTGTATGAGCACAGTGCAGATCGGTGGGCACACTGGTTCACATGCACTAACATGCACGTGAGTCTGAACCGGCTACATAAACAAAGCACAGAGAAGCTCGGAATATATTGACCTCATTCCCTTCTCAGAACGCCATTACTCCACTATATCTTTGCAATAATAAATTGTTGTTTGCTGCTATACAGTGCTCTGAATTTCAAATTTAGCACTTTTAAAGTTTAGCTGCTCAACATCTTTGAATCTCACGAAATGAGAATTCTGCCATATAACGTTTTTGCTGCCGTCATTATAAAGACACTTTTCTCACCAGTGGTGCTGGAAATAAATATAAAACATTTTGTAAAATACCAGGCTGTCATGAAAGATCCACAACCAACATACAACCCAAAAAAAACTATTTGCAGATTTACTTGTTGAACATTACAGTAATACATGTTGGGCAGCCGGGTCTTGGCCTTTTGAGCATACGGTTCAGTCACAGTGGTCACTACAGACCTGATTGCACAACTAAGTAAAAAATACACCATAAAACAGTTCAAATATGTTGTATATTCCATACAAATATATGTCACTTTTAACACTGCTTTCGGCACTTGCGTGTGTCAGGAAAGGGATTGGTCACATCAAAAAACTATTTTCCAGTGTGTGGGCTGTTCACATTCTTTCTCAGTGTCCCCACAGAAACGATTGTATGTAGCTTTGGGGTCAAAACCCAAGATCTCCCTCTCTTCATGGATCCGAAAAGAGAAGGTGGACACCGATGTTCCTATGAAGAATCTGAAAAATAAATACGTGAATAAATGAAAACAAAAGTAAACAGTGATGCAACAGATACCAGGTACCTTGGAAAATCACATGAGCATGATGACACATGGAAGTTTTTTTAACTGTATGTCACAGAGCAGCATTTCTTCCATGTTTGGGTATAATAATAACAAGGGTGTGAGTTATCCGGTGTTCAAAGTTTCCAAATAGGCCAAGGGGTAAAATGCAATGACTGGTATAATTGCTCAATAATTACTTTTTGATTATTTAAATAAAATTCATCATCAACACATAGACTTCCAGTGTCTCAAGTCTGAATGATTCAAATGATCAAATCTGCACATTTAAATGATTAGCTTCATAAAAACTAACCCTAACCCGCTAGTATGACTAACTTTTTTCAGAACAAATTTCTGAAGGTTGAATTATTTTCTGATACCAGTTAGCTGATTAATAAACTGTCATGTCAAACATAGTAAACTGCTATCTTCATCATCATGTAATGAATACATGTAAAAAAAAAACATGACAACTAGTTTACCTTGCATGGGCACATATCCACTGGTCAATGATGGCCACCCCTCCATCTTTAAAGAGCTCCAGGTTCTCCCTGGACGGCTCAAACCGCAACATGTCTGGCAACAACCCTTTCAGCTCCCGTAATTCTACAAAATGACAAAGATTAAACAGGATTCTAAAAGCATGACTGTGATTTTATTGTATATAAAGCATTATTATTAGCATTATAATACACATAATTATTTTGTTATTGTGTCGAGGTTTTGACAAGAACATTTTTCCCCAATTTAAAAACAACTTCATCACAGAATACAGTATATTGTCCTTTTAAATAATAAAAAAATAGTCCTTCAATCATTCAAATGTACAATAAACTGTAAACTGTCTCTGAATGTGTCCGCATGTCATTACCTTCCTCATCTGCATCTGTCGCAACAAACACACTGTCGAGTTTATGCTTCTTCATCAAGCTGCGCATTCTTTTCACTGCCCCCTTAAGGCTTGGTACATCCTCCCTGTGACCCCAGATGAAGTCTTTCCTGCGCAGGTGGACCCCCAGATATGGACCACCTTTAGCTGATCCTAGCTTGGCCTGAGGAAAAAATAAAGACACAACACACCCCTGTTTAATTACTGCTTAAAATGTGATGATCAAAGGGCAGAAATTTGGAAAAATGTCAATCTATAAAAATTGCAAAGTCAAGGAATTCAGATTCAAATAGTGCACACAGATAAACAAACAGGTATTGAGAAGTAAAGGGTGTGATTGACTGATCTGATTTGGTGACATGATTGGCTCCAAAAATTGGAACAAGCCAGGTCTGAAATGACGCACTCGCACGGTGAATACTGGATAATCTACTGTACATTTCCACACCCATAATCATGCCACACTCAGATACACTGACTCACTTTCATGCGAGTCCAATCCTCACTGTAAATGGTTTGGTCTCTGTCATCTGTAGAGTTCAGGTACTTGTCTCTGAAGTCGTCGCCTATGAGTCTCAGGTGTTTGGCGAAAACCATGCTGCGGCGGGTCTACGTCAAACACAGACAGTTGCAGAGACTCCCACCGTCAGGTTATGGAAGACATATCAGCAAAAATATGCCATCTAATACCTACACCAACATTACTAAACATGTGTGATATTAGGCCCATTAATTGACTTACTTCCCAGTAATCCTTTCCAGCATAGTGATCATGGAGAAGTGTCTCTGCTCGGTCAAGCATAACTGATCTGCAAAACAGCGCAGCACAAACAAGCTTATCCATGACGGTATCATCAAGATCAAAGAGGAGTTCAATCTGTAAGCAATACCCGATTAGATAACAATGACGTCAGATCACATTTCAGCTATTTACAAAGAGAAGAATAGAAGGCTCCGCCGCACAGAACAAAAGAAAGAATCATTATGATGTATCGCCCGCAGGCACATTTTACCGGGCGTTGCTGCTTAACAAATGTCAATACGCTATGCATGTGTGTGTATATTGTATGCGTTTTATATCAGCATGTTGCTCTGTAGACTCACGTCACTGTGATGTTTTTCTGAAGAACCGGGGCCATGATGGAGGCATGGCCTTGGGCTGATATACACGTTACGTTTCGAGCTCTCGTCTCCTCGTAGCCCCAAAACCAGCCCCTTGGAAACACAACGAGGAAAAATGCAGACAGTTGGAGAGGAGAGAAAGACGATAGAGATGGATATCATTTATACGGAAATACTGTGAATGTGATCCATCACTGTCTGAGGAGGGTCTACTAAGTTATAAGCAATTACAATTCATTTTCTTTGGCATTTAGGCTCAATAAATCTCTTGTGTAGAAACAAATAAACAATAAAAAATCCTCCTACAAAGGAAGGCAAGACAGAAAAGGAGTCAGAAAACATCCGTGTCATCACGGTTTAAGATCTCTCTGGTCTCTGGAGTCAAACTCAAACTAGTTCTACATGCAGCTACCACATGAACTCTGCACCCTTACTTTTCACTCTGCTATAAGAATGTAACACATTATATTGCATCGCTACTGCAAAGGAGAATAAATTGTGTTCGACAGTGTTTATCTTTTCATACTTTGTGTTTTAAATTGTGGGCTTCGGTGCATTTTTTGTTTTTTTTTACCTGTAGTAACCCTGTTTATCTTTGGAGTACATCAACTTGTCAATGCACGGCCGCTCATCAACTTTTTCCTCCCATTTCCCATCAGTCCATCCCTCAGCGTAGTTTTGCAGCACCAGAACCTGGTCTATAAATGGGCCTCCATTTTCTAGATCCGAGGGAAGAAAAAATACTGAGCTCTCCGTTTTAACAGCTGATTTAAAAAGTGGTCGCTGTGCATTTTAAAAAAGAACAATTAGTATTGATTAAATAAAGGTTTCAAATGCACTTGTAGTCTGGGTCACCAAGAGGAAAAGCTCACCAGCGATGAATTCCTCATACTCAACGACGGGCACGTTGGCCTGCAGGCTAGTGAGGCTGAAGAACTCCCCCCACGGGATGCGAATCTGGTGGACGTTGGAGCTCTGCCAGTGGTAGAGACGACCCCACGGGGGCAGCACCAATACCCAGTCGTCCCCCTCCTTCCTCAAAGTCTTCACCAGGGAGGCCATGCGGATATAGACATCTCTCCGCAGATTGAAACCCTCCGGGGGGTTCACGTCATACAAAAGGTACCTGAGATAACACAAGAGGACATGGGATCTTTTGAAAAAGCTTTGGAGGGATTACAAAGCAGCATCAAGCTCTCTGGTCAGAGAAGAGTGAAGGCTATGAAACCTAGCACATTCAGTAATAAAGCAACCTTGAGACAATTTTAAATGGATCATGATAAGATAATAACAAAAGCAGGGCTATATTTGTCATAGCTGATAACTCGATTACTCTAGAACCTTTGGAAAGCCATGATTTAAAGCTTTTAAGAAATCTATTCCTTCTAATTTATGGTTTAATATATAGGCAGTATGTGGTTTAAATAGCCTCGTCTTATCCAGGCAGTTCACATCCTGTGCCGACATTTAAGAGGTGGTTTGTTGATGGACCTGGATAATGAAAACTGTCCGACAAGAAATCTAACATGTTCTATATGTGCCAAGACATGACATACAGAGATGTCAAAGAGGAGAGAGAAGCATCAGAATTATGTTTATTGTTTTATGTTGTAAATGGTTAAAGTAATGCCATGGTCAATGTATTTATTTTCTATTTATGTGGTCTCATTTGCTGCTGTTTTGTTTCATTTTTTGTCATCAGCACAATTACATTGCATCCTTATTCCAGGTGTTGACTTATAGTGAAAAACATGAATAGGGCAAATTGTTGGCAGTAAAATGTAAAATGTTGGTAATACACATTTTTAAACATTGAAAGCACCATCATTCGGAGTCAGTTCTTATGGGGAGACTGCTGCAAGCAAGCATGGCAACCCCCCTTACATGTACATTAACAAACCACGTTATCCCACTGTTACTCCTACGCTGTAAGGGACGGCAAAAAGGAGATTCTGGTGCTTCTTAACGAACCATTTATACGCCGAAATTCAATACGACACAATGCTATCTTGCAAATTGTATTAAGAGACAGTTCTACTCAAAGTGTGTGGTTCTAATACGCAATACATCATTTAACTGACATATTTTAGCATGGAGTCAGGTAACGTTACGCCTTTACCCCTCGTCAAGGCTGCAGGGCTTATCGACACAAGTGGTCGAGCCTGGCAAACGGGATTAGAAAGTGAAGACATACAGCTTTAACAGTTTAAGCGTGTAATATTAAGCTGTAACGTCCACACACACATGACCATCCCACCGTTAGCATAAGGTCATTCTGCTAGCTAACAGTGACATGTAAACTCACCGTAGATCCCTTGCGGCACCGATAGGTACGGTAGCCGTGTGGCTTGCACTGAACACATTGTCGGCGTTTGCTGTTTCAAATGCTGCAAAAGCGACGAAAATCGACAAATAAAACGCAGTAAACGAATAGATTGAAACAATGCATACAACTGGTATATGCACTGCTCTGTGCGCCATATTTCCTCAGAGCCACGCACTTCCGGAAGGGTGGAAAAGCGTCTGTACAGTTGCCGAGCAACCAGGAGGGACGCGCATGCTAAAATAAATGTAAAAGCGAATACATTTTAATCAAACAACCCAGATAGATGTTCACGAGTTCATTAGCTTATTAGCTTAAAAAAACCATCAAGAGACTAAATGAAATTAATTAATGAAAATGAATACATTATTACAATGTTAACAGGCTTTTTTTCACAGACAGCATTATGACATGTCACAGTAGAATAAGTAATATGAAAGTAATAAAATGGCCGATGGCTGAATTTCATTTAGCAGCTTTGGTTTTTAGGGTTCTGCTATGTGCATGCTGGCTAACCGTCGTCACATGAACACAAAACAGTCCAAGCTTCGCCAAAACATCTGCAATGATCCCATGTGACCTGAATAAAAAAGGAAACTTGATACAGATTCGGTCATTCTGCATGTTGAGGTACAAGTCTGCTCCCTAGCTGTAGCTGAGAACACATCACTAGATGTTGTCCTAGTCGTGTGTCACTCCCAGTTGTCTTCTGGCCTCATCTATAAGGTCTGCTAACAGGCTGGAGTGAGCCCACGGCATCCCTGGACTCTCCTTCAGTCCTAGAGGAGATCAATCAATCACACAAGAGACCACAGGAGACAATCTACATTAAATATATGTGGGTGTTTCGAAAGTTCACTGGTCAAATTAATCCATTTACATTGGGTATAACGAATGACTCCGAATGTTAATAAATAAAACTGATCAGATCAATCAAAATCAGATCAGATCAATTGTTCTATTTTCTTACCTTTTAGCACCTCCTCAGCTTCATACCTAGACCTGTGCTGTTGGTGAAGTTTAGTGGCATGCCAGTCTCTGGGAGGGGGAACTTCATCCCCTTCCCATTCACTTCCAAGGTCGTGGGGCACCACATATGGTTAGGTACCTGATGTTGAAATCAATGTCATTCATACAAAGGGTAAATATTTGTTGATATTTTTCTTACTTTGCTTGCTAGTGTAGAGTCTGCATGTGGAGCATTTAATACAGACAATCAGCCACAGCAATGAGCTATTTCTTTTGACTGAGCTTCAGCTTTATTTAACAATTAGCCTACTGTTAACATGAACAGTAACTAGTATTAGTATATTCAAATTGTGTGTTAACTGTGTTATTTGGTCATGTGCATGCCGTTACCTTAATGGTGCCTTTGGTCCCAGTGATAACCGCATCACAGGTCAGCATCGTGGTGATTGAATAAGTGCACAGGGCCAGTCTATTTCCTGAGAACTTTAGGACCAAAACTGCTGTTCCATCAACACCTGGACAAAAGATGTAGTGAGATCTTTTATAAATCTGTATATAAAAAAACTCCAGATTCTATGTTAGAGTAGGTATCAGGGTTTTCGAGAAGATTCTTGCTTGGAAAGTTGACTTGTGTCTAAGCAATGCCCTGTTGCTTGGATGGACTCGGGCCTGTCGCCATTAAAAACCATGAGTACAAACTGCAGACAGTAGATGCCCAGGTCCGACAGTGCCCCCCCCCCTCCCAGCTTCCTCTCAGCCAAGCGAGGAATGTGGGTGAGTGCAGCCCCCAGATCAGCCCTCACCATCTGAACATCACCCACTTCACCCTGGTCCAGCAGTCTCCTCACTTCTCGGGATACAGGAAAGAAACGTGTCCAAACTGCCTAAACGGAGAAATGGAATGGTTCAAAGAGGTGAATGTAATTTTGGTTTTAAAATATATATATTTAGTCACCTCCATGAGAAAGACACTGTTGTCTTCAGCTGCAGTGATGAGTTCCTTCCTTTGAATTCATGGCCAGAGGTTTCTCAATCAGCACATTCTTTCTGGACTTCATGAAGAGCTTGCCAGTAGTCAGGTGGGTGAGGATGGATGGTGCCGATGTACACCACATCTAGACAGAAGGGGAAAGAGTATATGTAACACTTAATCAATCCAAGTAGGGAATGTACACACATTGGAGCTGGTTGAGTTTCAGTGACTGGCCTAAAATAACTTCAGCTAAGAAGAATTAGTTGATTCTATTTCTACCAAACATTATGCCATACGGTGACAGAAGAACCCACCGATGTCTGGATCTTTCGCCAACTCATCATAACTTCCATATGCTCGAGGGACATTGTGCTTTTTGGCAAATTCGTTGGCACGCTGCAGGTCCCTCGCTACGACAGCCACTATCTGAGGGAGAACATGTCGTTTTAGTAATGCAGCATTTATGTACAGTCATTTAAATACTGAATGCTTATTTAGCAAAATACAAATATAAATGAAAATGTGAGCAGAATTCTGTTGATGAATGGAATGCAGGCGCAACCATAATTTAACGCTTGAGTAAAGCAATAAACCTGGAGAGATAATTTCAGTTATTACCCAGTACACTTCTGTACTCCATGCTCATAAAAATATACTGGGTATGGTGTTGCAACATAACAATGTTTAATTGCTGTGAGAAGTTAATGAAATGAGCATCTACAAATGTCCTCTTCCTTGTATATTGAGTGCTTTGCTCAAGGGCACCTCTGTGGTGGCAGAGAGGGGCCACACTTTGAAGTTAGATTAATGGGAACAGTATTTAACAGTATTTTTCGACGTATGTATGTAATTTATTAATTTCCACTATTCTGAGGCTAACCCATTGATATACTAAGAGTGCGTCCACAGTTTAAAGGGAGTTATTTATTTCCTCTGTGACGTAATGTGCTCGCAAGGAACACGAGACAAATGTACACATTTTCCACTTTATGCAACATAGTCGTTTAACGTAACATTAGCTGAAATATACTTTAAGTGTTACCTCGTGGTCTTCGGGGTTCAGGGTCCGTAACGCAACCGAGAAGTCATGACTAATTTTGCCTGCACTGCATATTCCCCAGCGTGTTGCCATTGCAAGTTGGCAAGCATTGATAAACAAGCTCCTCCACTAGGGAACGCCTCCACACTATGGATATATATATGACTTACTATTGGCTCACTTCCTCTTCAGTGCAGCTATTCACAATCGCCACTAGGAGCTGCTAAAGGATAAACAAAACAAACCAATACACTGACTCCAATACAGTCGAGATCAAATGGTTCATCTGTATGGAGAATTAAATGACCCCAACTTATACTACTCTGGAGTTCAGGAGTTCAGATGCTGTGCAGTGATGTACTTAATGGTTTCATCATGTTAGTTATTTGCTGGAGTCTCAGCCACTATAGAATGTTTGCATGCGAACAAAGCTGACGGCAAAAACACAGTACGCTGGCCTGGTTTCAGAGTCTGGAGTCAAAATGTACTCGCAGAAATAAACAATTTTTTTCAGACATAATCCGACACCTAAACACGTGCAACCACACACATATAGACAGGGGACCGTCCATACCAGGGGAGGGCAATTATTTTTCCCAAGGGGCCACATGAGAAACAGGGACTGGAGGGCTGGATCAATAGACTGAACTCAATCCTGCTCTATATTATTCCACCTCTTTATAAAAAGCAGTAAATTGTATAGTTTTGATAAGCTGCGAGTGGCAAGAGTAAATATTATGATCAGTGGTGGAATGTAACTAAGTATATTTGCTTAAGTACTGAACTTATGTACAAATTCAAGGTATTTTACTTGAGTATTTCCATTTTATTAAACTTCGACTCTACTACATCTCAGAGGGAAATATTGAACTTTTATCTCAACTACATTTGTCTGGCAGCTTTAATTACTAGTTACTTTAAACATTATCATTTTTCAAACCCTTCCCAACTACCCAAACTGAACAACAGTGTATAAATAAGTTAACATGAGCTCCACCTGACATATCTGGAGCAGGAACAATGATCCAAACAAATATACATATGTAATATATATCATTTTAAAATATATTTTTATAGTCAATGCTTAAAAATATGTCAAAGACAAAACTTTTGACATTGCTTTGCTCAGTTTTCCAATCCCAATGAGGAGGTTGCATAAAGATATTGGGTATATAATATTACACCAACATACAGAATAGAGATCTGACAGTTATGTTTGAGAGAAAGAAATGACAAGGTTTGATCTTACCATGTTAATGTGTTCCAACACAAATAACTTCAGCATCGACCCAACTGTTGCTCACCACTGTAGCCTATGTGGTACAAAAAACATTCAATGGATTTTGTAGACGTGAACTATGAAACGAATAAGATGATCATTTTCATCATGAAAATATTCATAAAAATGCTTTATGACAGAATGTCAAAGTAAAAGATAAATAAACAGACAATATGTTTTGGGGAAAGATTTATTGTGAAACCACACAGGTTTCAAACTTTTACAGACAAGGTTATTGAATCATGTTCTGTCTTTTTGATAAAACAAATGAATAAAAGAGCTTTAAATGAACACAAAAGCTGTCAAAAGTCAATTTGATGGTACAACGAAGGAACCTTACAGGTAGGTCAATTTTTGATTTAAAAAAAAAGGTAAATAAAAAAAGAAAGAAAATGTCTTAATTTAAAAAGAAACATGCAAAATGTGTTATATTTCTTAACAAACAGACATTTTTTTCCCTGAAAATAATTGGCAAATGCCAGCTAAACCCGTCTAATATTCCTCTCCTTCCTCATCGTCTTCAAAGGAGTCGATCCCAACCTCTTCATAATCCTTCTCCAGGGCAGCCATATCTTCTCTGGC